CCTTGGTGACCCCAAAGTATGCGGTCAAACCAGTCATACCAACAGTAGCCAAATATGAAGTTAAAGGCAAACCTGCGGATTCGTCAATAGTTGTGAAAATCAGTTGTTCATTGACAACAACATATTCTTGCCACGAAAAACGGCCGGTAACTTTATCACCAACCGAATGCTTGCTAGATTTAGAAAGAACTACCTCACCTAACCCTAATGCAGTGACTGGGTCGTTTTCTAAAATTGGTGGTGCGTACATTCTCTTGGCATCAAGTCCCTTTTGCATCCATCCTCTTTGAGTTGGGTCATTGGAAATATATAAAACCTTCACAACTATTTCTCCATCTTTAATTGAGTTCTCATCGAAGGTTGCTTCTTCGATTCTGAATGTGGATGATTCTTCACCATATTTTAAGTTGACTTCATTAGTTGGAGCATTGTTTAAAACAATTCTCTTGTAGTTTGAAGGGATAGACATTTTAGATTAATAGTTATTGTAAATTGTGATGGATTATTGAAAAAACTTGATTGAAAGGTATTTGTTCCATATATATATACATCTATTACATGCACGATTCGGGTAAAAATTAGTAAGACTAACGGAGATATAATATACAGGATATCTACAATTTCTCGGTCTCGGTTAAAACTAAACTACTTGAAATTAATATACAAAACTTGAACTAGATGAACATAGTGCTTACTAATGTTTAATCTTTCTCAACGTTGGTGAGTGATGATTCTTCTCTTTCATCTTTAGCGAATTGTTCTCTATTCCAACTAAGCAAGTTAACATCACCAGTTCGTCTAGGTCTAATGGTGTTTACAACTAACAATGTTAAACCCAACACGAAGCAGAGGGCACCACCAACCATCCAACTTATACCCAAGAAGTCATTTTTACCACCCATAACAGATCTTTGGGATATGTAGATAAATTTCTTACCATTGTAAGGTAAAACAGGGAAGTGTAAACCAATGGATACTTCGTAAATACCTTTCTTCAAAGTGTCATCGTCATTACGAAGGGCTAACTTATTGAAAGTAGGTAACCCAGATGTATGCATCCAGTTCTGGAACTGATACCACGTAGAGATATCTGGTACATTATCTTTGTTGTAACCATTTGGATATTTCTTGTACCAATTTGGAGGAGGTACAATCTCAGAATAATGGTATTGAGTCTTCTTGAATCTATTTTTATCACTAGCCCACGCAATTCCTTTTTCTGTCATTTCATAGTCATCCGACGTCCCATTGACACCTGTTAACGTACTGGTGAAGGTATCGTTGAATAAACTATTTGCAATCAAACCGCAAGGATAATACTTCTTACCTTCTTTATTGACAGAAAGTGGCTGACAATTCTGCCCAACCGTATTCTTAATGACGTCCTCTGAAGCTGCTTTTCCCTCGATTTGGTCTTCACTAAAAGACTTCGCATAACGACGATGGTTGGCGTGAAACTTATCCAATCTGTAGAAGAAGTAAATCGGAGGCGCTAAATCGTTTGGAATTTCGAATTGTAATCTGCATACGTTTCTCTCGTCTTCAAACTCCTCCGAATCATCGGTAGCTAATTTCCACTGGGGCTTCGCCACATCTCTGTCCTTACTCTTGAAGTTGAAGTTGATGTACTCTTCAGGAATCTCTTGCCAGTAATCCGATGACGCCAACTTCTCACAATGCGCATAATCGATCGACATATCCTGAACCTTGTGAGATGCATACCACATAGCAGCCCCCAAAGGAGCAAAAACAACAGCTATAACAATTAATATGGGTATAACAGTCTTCACCGTCAAAACTGGATTGTATGCCTTTAAACGCTGTTGTCTGAACGCGTTATCCCCCGGTCTTCTTGACTTTTCCTTATTTTTAGTGCTTACATCGGATAGCGAGTCTGAATCATAATCGGAGTTTTCGTAGTCATAATCTTCAGAATTGACGTTTGGCTCTTGTGGCTTCGGTTCCTCTCCTACCACTGTGTTATCGTGTAGATCATTCACTGCTGATTGTGACGCCATATTTTCTTTGTAAAGCGCTTAGATAACTCTTTTATCAACACCTTTTAAAACGATCCGGATTCTTTAGACTAGAAGCCGACTACACAACTGTCACAAACGTTTACTCCCGCACCAAAGTGAAAAATCACGTGATAAAAATCAAAAATTTTTTTGTCGCAAAGACGTATAGAACACCATACCAAATTGCTTTTAGTTGTTTCTCTAGTCAATTAATTCGTTGATTTATAGTTTAGCATCGTTATAGAGCATATCAAAAGATGTCAAGTCAAGAAGCAGACACAGCTGAGAAGAATATTGAGATCTGGAAGGTCAAGAAGTTGATCAAGTCTTTGGAACAAGCCAGAGGTAATGGTACATCGATGATTTCGTTGGTTATTCCACCAAAAGGGCAAATTTCGCTCATCCAAAAGATGTTGACAGAAGAATACGGTACTGCGTCTAACATTAAGTCTCGTGTCAACAGATTGTCAGTGTTGTCAGCCATCACATCCACACAACAGAAATTAAAGTTATATAACTCAGTTCCGAGAAACGGGTTAGTTGTCTATTGTGGTGATGTTTTAACCGATGAAGGTAAGGAAAAGAAGTTGAATATCGATTTCGAACCATTCAAGCCAATTAACACATCCTTATACTTGTGTGACAATAAGTTCCACGTTGAAGCTTTATCTGAATTATTAGAAAACGATGACAGATTTGGATTTATCATTATGGATGGTAATGGTGCGTTATTCGGTGCCGTGTGTGGTAACACCAGAGAAGTTTTGCATAAATTTACCGTTGATTTACCAAAGAAGCATGGTAGAGGTGGTCAATCGGCACTTCGTTTCTCGCGTTTAAGAGAAGAAAAGAGACACAATTACGTGAGAAAAGTTGCCGAAGTTGCAGTTCAGAACTTCATAAGTGCAGATAAGGTTACCGTCAAAGGTTTGATTTTGGCTGGTTCTGCTGATTTCAAGACCGAGTTGTCCAAATCTGATTTATTTGATAATAGATTACAAGCTAAAGTTATTAAGATTGTCGATGTTTCCTACGGTGGTGAAAATGGTTTCAACCAAGCAATTGAATTATCTGCTGAAACTTTGGCTAATGTCAAGTTTGTGCAAGAAAAGAAATTGTTAAATCAATACTTTGATGAAATCTCTCAAGATACTGGTAAGTTTTGTTATGGTATTGAAGATACATTGAAAGCTTTGGACTTGGGTGCATGTGAAATTATCATCGTTTATGAAAATTTGAATATCATTCGTTATACCTTGAAGGATATTGAAGGTAATGAAGTTATTGCTCATGCAAACCCAGACTTACCGGATAAATCATACATGTTAGATAAGAAAACAGGAACTGAAATGGAAACAGTTAAAGAGGAGTCATTCTTGGAATGGTTAGCTGAGAACTACAAAAACTTTGGTGCTAATTTAGAATTTGTTACCGATAGATCATCCGAAGGTGCCCAATTTTGTCAAGGTTTTGGTGGTATTGGAGCTATGTTAAGATACAAGGTTAATTTCGAACAATTAGCTGATGAATCCGACGAGGATGAGTATTATGATGATGATGATGAAGAATTCCTTTAGATAGATAATAATTCTCTTTAAGTATGTATATTACAAATTCGTACATTTTTGTATTCTTAAGTTTTCATTTTTATTAATGCCACCTAAAAATTATCTAGATTCTAAATAATTTTTTATCATAAAATGAATAAAAATCTATATAATAATTATTTTTTTGCCTTTGCTTTATTGGTTTTATTGGCTTTATTGACTTTGGTTTGCTTTTTCTTAATGACTTTTTTGGTTCTTAAATCATCTAATGCATTAACACTTGCATGGCCTAAAACTTCTTTGTGTGTGTTACCCGTTACCATTTGATGAGCTAAATTTTGTAAACCGCTTGTTAAATATGATCTTCTCGAATTTTTTCTGATCGGCTTGGAGAGTAAATCATTTAATTCTAACCTCAAACTTCTCAGTTCATCTTTGGTCAATGCCTTGTTTTCTTTTCTCTTTCTTTGTCTCTTGATAAAATCATCTTCAAAATTGTCAATGTCCGATAAATTATCAATACCCAATTCTTCTGCTGCTTCATGAACCCAGTTATCTTCTTTTCTAGTGGATGAGGAAGATCTCTCTGCATCAGCTAATTTAGAAGCAAGTGTTACTCTTGGCTTAATCTGTGAAACAAGGTCCATTTCAAGTGGAAGTAACTTAACATCGTTATGTGCATTTAAGCGTGTCCTTTTCTTCGTATTATTTGCAACTAATTTTCTTAATTTTCTCAAAGGACCAGATGCTTCTTGAGGTGAACAAAACATAACCGAAACACCCTCTTTTCCTGCTCTCCCTGTTCTACCAGATCTGTGTATGTAGACATCAGCAGACCTTGGTAAATGGTAATGAGCAACATGATCAATATTTGGAATATCTAATCCTCTAGCAGCCACATCTGATGCTATTAAAACAGCAGTGGAGTTTTTCGAACTAGCCTCTTTGAATCTTTCTAATGTTCTTAATCTCTGTTTCTGGATCATTGATGAATGAATTGAGAATGTAGGAACCTTCAAGTTATTTAAGAATGGTGCTAATCTCTTCACTGAATCGATAGAATTTGCAAAGACTAACGTCGATCCTGGATATAATAAAAGGAAGTAATACAAATATAAATCTCTTTCAGTTGGACCACATTCAACTAAAGCCTCTGTAATTTGACCTGCAACCATTTCTTTAGGATTTGCATCAATCAATGTTGGCTTCGAGTCTTTGAATTTCAATTTGTCGTTCAATAATTGTAAAATTTCGTCATTATCAATCAAAGAGCTTCCCATTTCCTCTTTATTTTTGTTAGTTTTCAAGTGCTTATCCAATTTACCAAATAAATCCCTTGAAAATGTTGCACTGAAAACTAAAGTCTGCCATTTCCACTCAAGTTCTTTATTATCCCTAGGTCTATGTTTACCAAATAATTCCAATATTTTTACAAATTCATCAAAATGACCATCTTGCAATAACCTATCAGCTTCATCTAACACAACTATATCAGTACAGGATAATCTTTGGACTAATTCCATATCTTTTTGTAATAACTCTAAGAATCTACCAGGCGTTGCCACAAGTATACCTGGACCATGGGATAATAGTCTTTCTTGCTTTTGAATAGAAAGACCACCAGTAATACTCACTATACCATGTTGAGATAACGGAGTAAATTTGGCAATTTTATTTAAATGATCTACGACTTGATGTGCTAATTCTCTGGTGGGAGCAAAAATTATTCCAGTTGGTGGGCTTATTATTTTCTTGTTACTTTGATTAGCTTTCGACATTTTCTGAAGGTGACGTTCCAATATTGGTATACCATATGCAAGGGTCTTACCTGAACCAGTGATAGCTTTTCCGATAACATCTTTCCCTTCAATTGCAAGAGGGATTGTTCTTTTCTGAATTGCAGTTGGCTTCTCAAATTTCAAAGCTGATAATCCATTTAATGTAAATGGACTTAATGATAAACCATCCCAGTAAGGTAAATTAATATCATTATCGTCCGGTAAAACCAAATCAACATTTTTGAAGGCACTTTCTAATAAGGCATCTTTCTTTGGACCCTTTTCACTCGTTGCCTTACTTTTGGTTTTGGATTTATTTTCTTTATTTGCACTTTCAACAATGATTTTTTCTGCCTCATCAATATTATTATCGTCATCAAATCCTTTAAAGTCATCTTCATCGTCAATGTCCGCATCATCATGAATATCATCGTCTTGAATATCATCATCATCATCATCTTGATCATCTTGATCGTCATCATCTTGATCGTCATCATCTTGATCGTCATCATCTTCTTCATCGTCCTCATCATCACTTTTTTTAACTTTGGAGTCGTCTTTAACAACAAACTCTACATTACCTCCAGAAACTTTAACATCAACTCCATCAATTTCTTCTAACCCATAAAAGCCTTGATAATCATCTAAATTGTCCGGTATATCAACTGCTTTCCAGTTTAAATTATCTACCTTTACAATTTTAGATTCCTTTTGCAACTTTTGCTTCAATGATAAAGGCTTCCTAGAATTCTTTTGCTTTGGTTTGACACCTTTCTTACTCCTATCTTTTGACACTTTCATATTTAGTATCTTGTTACTCTTTACCATCTTCTAGTACAAAAAAAATATCTAATTTTGTAGCTCATCTTGATTTTTTAAAGTTCTGCATATAGAATACATATTACACCATAAAATTTATGTTACCATGTAGGTAGATTCACCATACTAGACATGGGAACTAAACAGAAACGACAAGGTCTATTAAGAAGACCGCATACAATATCGGGAGAGAAAATAAAACCCAAGTCTTTGAAACCCAAAGAAGCTAGAAGGTTGATAAGAAGGTTTCATGTACTACAGAAGAATAGATATTCCATAGTCGCCAAGTTAAATGAACTGTTAAACATACCCGGAGAAAGAATATCGACAGATACTTATAAACAGCAGATCAAGAATAACTTTCCACTGTTTTTTGAAAAATATAACGAGAGATATAAGTCGTTTAAGGTTTCATCCAAATATGCGGACAATGACTTGATTAGAATTGATGAACAAACTACTACAGAAATGCTAATTACAAAGTTAGCAGAAATTGATTCTGAATCAGATAAACGGGGAGGAATTGAAGCATATCAATCGGCATCAACACAAGGGCAAAATGGCAAGAGAGGTGGCGATTCTCTGAAAAAATTGGTTGAATGGTTAAAAGATGAGAATCATCTATACAATAACAAACTAGATCAAGAGTTAAATGCCTTGGAAATAGGTTGTTTGAGCCCGAGTAATCTAATTTCTACTAGTGGAATTTTCAAAGAAGTAGTTAGGATTGATTTAAATTCACAAAATCATTTAATCTTAGAGCAAGACTTTATGATGAGGCCATTACCTAAAACGAACCTAGAAAAATTCAATATGATATCGTGCTCTCTTGTGTTGAATTTTGTACCATCTCCAAGGGAACGGGGTGATATGTTGAGAAGAATAACGCAATTCTTGAAACCACCCAAATCATCAGATTCGTTGAGTAGTTTGTTTCTAGTTCTTCCATTACCTTGTATTGAAAACTCAAGGTACTTTAATAATGAGATTTTAAATAAAATAATGTCGAGATTGGGATTCCACCAGAAATGCTACTATGCTGCTAAAAAAGTCGCATATTGGTTATTTGATTGGGAGGGTAAGGTAAAAAGAGGCGAGAAAATTAATAAACGAGAAGTAGCAGCTGGTGCAAATAAAAATAATTTCTGTATAACACTCGAATAAAATGTGTCAAAAATAAAGGTTACCACATAATTATTCGGCCAATATTAACTATAATTTTGATGTAAATAGCAAACTGAAACCTTTTTTCTCGCATAAATATAATTAGAATATATATGGAGTACAATATCACGTCATAAAATAATACTTCTTGGTGTGAATCGTACGTTTTAAAATTACGATTTTGAATTCTATTCAGGAAAGTTACAACAATAAGATGGTTTGTACTTAGCATTTATTTGGGCTGCCGGGCGACAGAAAACTTTATGCACCGGAAAATCTGAAATAATCCGCGATCATCACTCCTGGCACCCGCAGTAAGAATTTTCCGACAACAAATAGCTGGCTTGCCTTTACCAATTCATTAAACCATTCTCAATTTAGACTATTTAGAGTTTATACAATATGGAGTAAAGTTAGTATTATGTACAAAGTATACCATATATCTACTTGAGATATTGAAGTTTATGTGGGTTAATGCTATAGATTATAAGGCGAGATCGGAATATTTTAGAGGATGCTGCCGATATATTATGAGCAGATCCTCGTCTCACCGTAATATTGTTCTTAAAATTGGTTATGGTTTTGAACAATGTACTTTTATTGCATGGAGAAATTGGACCGTGATTCGCCACTTGCGAAATTATTAATCAGCCTACTATAAGTGTATTGTTCCGCACCGGCATTTTTATGGGCGAGTGGGGCAACGTTAGTTTTTCCGGGGCATGACACGGAGAAACTGGAGCGTGTATGGGATTAATCTTGCATGCCGGGTTAAAAAATTTTTCCAGATATTTTTCCGTAGGCATTAAGAATCTGTTATGCCTACTCTCAGAAAGTATAAATAAGTGGGTTATTCCTCCCGTTATTTCGAAAGTCTTTTCTTATATTATTCATTGATTTAATTTATAACTCAATTTATAATGTCTCAAGAAGAATACAATTCTGGGGTACAAACTCCAGTTTCTAACCATTCTGGTTTAGAGAAAGAAGAACAAGACAAATTAGACGGTTTAAATGAAAGTGAAATTATCGATCAATTACCTTCATTACCTGAAAAGTCCGCTAAGGATTATATGTTAATTTCCTTCTTCTGTGTATTAGTCGCTTTTGGTGGTTTCGTTTTCGGTTTCGATACTGGTACTATCTCTGGTTTCGTTAACATGAGTGATTATTTGGAAAGATTTGGTGAAGTTAATGCTGATGGTGATTACTACTTATCCAATGTTAGAACTGGTTTGATTGTTGCCATTTTCAATGTTGGTTGTGCTGTTGGTGGTATTTTCTTATCTAAGGTTGCTGATGTTTACGGAAGAAGAATTGGTATTATGTTTTCCATGATTATTTATGTGGTTGGTATAATTGTTCAAATCTCCGCTACTGACAAATGGTATCAAATTGTTGTCGGTAGAGCTATTGCAGGTTTGGCTGTTGGTACCGTTTCCGTCTTATCTCCATTATTCATTGGTGAATCAGCCCCAAAGACGTTGAGAGGTACTTTAGTTTGCTGTTTCCAATTATGTATTACCTTAGGTATTTTCTTAGGTTATTGTACTACCTATGGTACTAAGACATACACAGATTCTAGACAATGGAGAATTCCATTAGGTTTGTGTTTCGCTTGGGCTATCATGTTGGTTATTGGTATGGTTTCTATGCCTGAATCCCCAAGATACTTAGTTGTTAAGAATAAAATTGAAGAAGCTAAGAAGTCTATTGGTAGATCTAACAAAGTTTCCCCAGAAGACCCTGCTGTTTACACCGAAGTTCAGTTAATTCAAGCCGGTATTGAAAGAGAAAAATTAGCTGGTTCTGCTTCCTGGACTGAATTGATTACTGGTAAGCCAAGAATCTTACGTAGAGTCATCATGGGTATTATGTTACAATCCTTACAACAATTGACTGGTGACAACTATTTCTTCTACTATGGTACTACCATTTTCCAAGCTGTTGGTATGACTGATTCTTTCCAAACTTCTATTGTTTTGGGTGTCGTTAATTTTGCATCTACATTTGTCGGTATCTACACCATTGAAAGATTCGGTAGAAGATTATGTTTGTTAACTGGTTCTGTTTGTATGTTTGTCTGTTTCATCATCTACTCGATTTTGGGTGTTACAAACTTATACATTGATGGATATGATGGTCCAACTTCGGTTCCAACTGGTGATGCTATGATTTTCATTACCACATTATACATTTTCTTTTTCGCATCCACCTGGGCCGGAGGTGTTTACTGTATCATTTCCGAAACTTACCCATTAAGAATTAGATCTAAAGCCATGTCTGTTGCCACTGCTGCTAACTGGATTTGGGGTTTCTTGATCTCTTTCTTCACTCCATTCATCACCTCCGCCATTCACTTCTACTACGGTTTTGTTTTCACTGGATGTTTGTTATTTTCCTTCTTCTACGTTTACTTCTTTGTTTCTGAAACTAAGGGATTGACTTTAGAAGAAGTTGATGAGTTATACGCTCAAGGTATCGCACCATGGAAATCATCCTCTTGGGTTCCACCAACAAAGGAAGAAATGGCTCACACAACAGGTTACGCTGCTGAAGCCAAACCTCATGACCAACAAGTATAAGCTAATGTGTCAGAAAATACAATGTAATGTATAATAGAACAAAATAATAGAATAATTTCGATTTCCGTGGAGATCCATACTATATATGTTTCATGATAGAGTTTAATTAGTTGCATGTTATATACGCTTTTATGATAATTCCTTTGTAGTGAATTGCTGTTACAATGTGCAGTTCAAGGTACGTATCTAAAAGATCTGCTTGTGTAAATGTATATAACTTTACTAATATCTTCTGACTGGTTCATATAGGATAACTTGCTTACTTTATGTGCCCATTATCGTCATACCAAGTAATCAGACCTATACAAGATGCGAGATTCAGTTACAATGAACATAAGTACGAACTCAATATCAATAAACTGTACTGCCATAACATGCGCTTTCGCCTATCCTACTCTACTAAACACTATCTATACCCTACTGGTGCAACATTAATAATCACTACACAATGTAAATGAACTCGTACTTTGTAACAATTTCCGAGCGCGCAATTTGCACCCTAATACCAAGACTATTCAAGCCGAAACGAATTCCCAATTGTATTCCTCTTTCTCCTCCTTGTCTTCTTACCGCTTACACCCGTTTTTTTCCTTCCCAATCCCTATCACCATGCTACCAGTTTAGTACCTCATAAATCTGCGACATAAATATGCATCTCATCTCGCCACAAAACCGCCTCGCTAACAATAATCTTCCCATTTTAAAACCCGATTTCTCCGCTTGCAAAAGGGCCGAACATAAAAACCACAACCACAAATAGTAAATCGAACCACAATGCCTCAACCCGATTCTTAGCGGTACGCGAGCCCACTCTCAAACCCCAATTAAGAGTTTTCCTGTTACAAACGCCGAGTAAACGGTTCAGCATGTCCTGTGGGCGATTCTCGTCCAAATGAATCATATGCATCCGACCGACCGATGACTCACTGCGATTGGCCCAGTTTAGTAACGTCCTCGGAATGATTGACGTGTTTGAGTCAAAGGTAATGAAGGTCTAATGTATGTATGTGAACCCCACCTTCGAAATTTTTTCTTCCGTGAGCGGGAAAACCTTGTATATATAGCGAACGATTCTTATAATATTAGAAAAAAGAAAATAGTACGTAGTATTACTGTGAGTACAAACTAAAATAGTTTTAATAATAATAAAACAATAGAAATGTTATCAAGGGTTCAATTAAAGCGCATACCAAATTGCAGACAGTTTTCTGTGGTTAGTAGAGTTTGCAAATGGAACGACATCCCATTAGCACCACCGGATAAAATTTTGGGAATCAGCGAAGCATTCGTCAAAGATACCAACGCTAAAAAGGTCAATTTGGGAGTTGGTGCTTACAGAGACAACTCGGGTAAACCAATTGTGTTCGATTCAGTCAAGAGTGCCGAGGCCAAGTTATTAGAAACCGAAACCGAAAAGGAATACACTGGAATCATTGGTAATAAGAACTTCCAGAAAGTGGTCAGAAACTTTATTTTCAACAACAGCGGCAAGGATGCTAATGGGGCTAAATTGATTGATGCAAACAGAATTGTCACCAGTCAAACTATTTCTGGTACTGGTTCTTTAAGGGTTATCGCTGATTTCTTGAACAGATTTAACTCTGCCAAGAAGATTTACGTACCAAAGCCAACATGGGCTAACCACATCGCTGTTTTCACCGATGCTGGTATTAGTGCCGAGTATTACGACTACTACAACAAGGAAATAAACAACTTGGATTACGACAAATTGAAGAAATCATTGGCTAACGCCGACGAGGGTTCAGTTGTCTTATTACACGCTTGTTGTCACAACCCTACCGGTATGGACTTAACATCCGAACAATGGGACGAAGTCTTATCCATCGTTCAACAAAAGAAATTATTCCCATTGATCGATATGGCTTACCAGGGTTTCGCCTCCGGTAACCCATACAAAGATATTGGATTAATCCGTAGATTGAACGAATTGGTCGTTAGCGGTGACATCTCCACCTACGCTTTATGTCAATCTTTCGCTAAGAACATGGGTTTGTACGGTGAAAGAACCGGTTCCATCTCTATCGTTACCGAATCTGCTGAACACACCACCGCCATTGAATCCCAATTGAAGAAGTTAATCAGACCAATGTACTCTTCTCCACCAATCCATGGTTCCAAGATTGTCGAAACCATCTTCGCTGACGAATCCTTGTACAACGCTTGGTTAAGTGATTTAGACCAAGTAGTTTCCAGATTAAACACCGTCAGAACCAAGTTGTACGAAAAATTGGACAAGTCCAACTACAACTGGGACCACTTATTGAAGCAAAGAGGTATGTTCGTTTACACTGGTTTATCTGCTGAACAAGTTATTGAATTGAGAGAAAAATACTCTGTCTACGCTACTGAAGATGGTAGATTCTCCATTTCTGGTATTAACGACAACAATGTTGACTACTTGGCTGATGCCATGAACCAAGTTGTTAACAAATAATTCGCCATGATATGAAATAGATTTATATAGTTATGTAAGGTTAGGAAAAATGAATGTATTTTACGACGAAATTTCATGTGACACAAAGTCGTTGTTTTAATCAGAAGTGACCCTTCAGCAAAATTAATAACACTTTTGATTTGGAAACCAACACATTGATTAATTAGTTAAACCATTGCAAACATGTCCGAATCAATTCAAACTATTCCGACCAAGCCATTTCAAGATCAAAAACCTGGTACCTCTGGTTTGAGAAAAAAGGTTCAAGTCTTTCAACAACCAAATTATACGGAGAACTTTATTCAAGCAATCTTAGACGCAATTCCAGAAGGTAAGAAGGAATCCACGTTAGTTGTGGGTGGTGATGGTCGTTATTACAATGATACTGTCATTCAATTGATTATCAAAATTGCTGCTGCTAACGGTGTTAAAAAGTTGATTGTTGGTCAAAATGGTATCTTATCCACACCAGCAACGTCACACGTTATTAGAATCAGAAAAGCCACCGGAGGTATTATTTTGACTGCATCACATAATCCTGGTGGACCAAACAATGACCTTGGTATCAAGTATAACTTGGCCAATGGAGGTCCTGCCCCGGAAAGTGTTACCAACAAGATCTTTGAAATTTCTAAGGATCTTGATGATTATAAAATTATCGCATTACCCGAATTTGATTTGAGTAAAATTGGTTCATTGCAAACTGGACCAATTGAAGTTGAGGTCATTGACTCTACTAAGGACTATGTGGAGATGTTGAAGGATACTTTCGACTTTGCCGCAATTAAAAAATTCCTTGCTGATGCCACCGAGAAGCAAGATTTCAAGTTGCTTTTTGATGCCATGAATGGTGTCACCGCTCCTTATGGGCAACAAATCTTCGTAGAAGAGTTGGGATTACCATCTTCGTCTGTACAAAATTGTAAATCATTACCAGACTTTGGTGGATTACATCCAGACCCAAATTTAACTTACGCAAAGGGGTTAGTTGATAGAGTAGACAAAGAAAACATTGCATTTGGTGCTGCATCCGATGGGGATGGTGATAGAAACATGATTTATGGTGCAGGAACTTTTGTTTCTCCAGGTGATTCAGTAGCAATCATCGCTGAATATGCTGACGCTATTCCATATTTTGTTAGAAACGGGGTTCATGGTTTAGCCAGATCTATGCCAACTTCAGGTGCATTGGACTTGGTAGCTAAAGACAAGGGCTTAAATATTTATGAGGTTCCAACGGGATGGAAGTTCTTCTGCAACTTGTTCGATGCTAAAAAGTTATCCATCTGTGGTGAAGAAAGTTTCGGTACTGGCTCTGACCATATTAGAGAAAAGGATGGCTTGTGGGCTATTATTGCATGGTTAAACGTTCTTGCTGACTTCGATAAGAAGAATCCTGATAAGAAGACTAGTGTAGAAATAGTTCAAAATTCTTTTTGGGAAAAGTACGGTAGAACATTTTTCACTAGATATGATTTTGAAAATGTTTCTAGTAAAGGAGCTAACAAGATTATTGAATTATTAACCTCTATTGTGGAGAATAGTCCAAAGGGTTCTAAATTAGCTGACGGATATGTTGTTGCAGAAGGCGATAATTTCTCATACACTGATTTAGATGGTTCTGTTTCCTCCAATCAAGGTTTGTTTATAAAATTTGAAAATGGATTAAGATTTATTGTTAGATTATCAGGTACGGGTTCATCTGGTGCTACCGTTAGATTGTACTTGGAAAAACACTCTTCTGACGCATCTACTTATCAAACTAAGGTTGATGACTACTTGTCAAAGGATATTAGATTTGTCTTAGATTTATTGAAATTCAATGAGTTTTTAGGAAGAGACGAACCTGATGTTCGTACTTGATTGATATTACATTCGCTCTGTTTTAATTCTCAATTGTTCACTTGGAATAAACGATATATTCTCATAGATGTTGTTATTTCGTGTTTATGTCATTAAGTTGTGTTTCTATATATATCATGGACGAATAAAATATCATAGGATATTCTTTGGTGTAAGTAACAATCATTATAGTAAATCTTTATATTACTCGTTAAACTCAATAAATACAGGGTGATCTCCATCTATGAGATGTACATACGTATATAGTACAAAAAAAGTTGTTAACTTTAGGCTACTAATCGGCTAATAAGAGTAGAAGCAAAAACTAACATCACAAAATACCTAATTAAAATACATCCATTCATAATTCATACATAATAGTGCAAGAAAAAAGTTAATTATCAACTTTTGTCTTTTTATTACTGTTGGATTGTTCTTCTTCACTTTCTCTTTTAAAAGGAGGGATTGAATAATCCTTTAAATTATAATAATCATCCAACCTTTTTCTCATCGAAACTTCTCTCAATCTTGCAGCTTGTTCCATTGCTTCCAATTCCATTATTCTAGTTCTGTACAAATCATTTACTAACTCTAACTCAGAAATTCTTGTCTTCAAAAGAGTTATTTCACTTGAATTTGAATTTGAGTTCTCAGCATTATTACCATTATTATTACCATTATTGTTGTTATTGTTATTGTTGTTGTTATTATTATTACCGCTGTTGTGATTACTGGAGTTTCCTCCAGGAGGTGGTTGATAGTTTTGGTTCTGATCAGGGGTATGTTGATTATTGAAACCACTAAAACTATTTTGGAAGTTAGGCAACGAGGTCTTATTGATATGGGACGAGAGTTGCTGTATTGGAGGTAAAGAAGTTGCCGCTATCACTGGCGATTGTTGCTGTGAGGTTGAAGATGAAGGGGTAGGTTGCTGAGACAATTGTGATTGGGAAGGAGATTGTGATTGTGATTGAGACAGCGATTGAGGTTGTGATTGAGATTGTTGCAAATGGAATTGTGGTCCAAAAGAAGGAGACGAAATATTTTTGCTTGAACCATTAGAGTTTGAGCCCAATGCAGGTAATTTAGGTGGCATTGTGCTTGACGTAACATTTAAAGCCGATGATGGTGTAGAATAATTTTTAGATTCCTTCTTAATGCTGTCATCTGTCGAAGAAGCCTCACTGTTCATTAACGATGTACCTTGAGATTTGCTAGACGATGAATACTTGAAAGTTGCACTCGGGCCTAATTCATTCGACATGTTTTCTAATGCACCTGCAGCCTGTGCAACACTAAGATTAACCTTGTTATTTTCTCTATTCACGGGAGCCATTGTGTTCAAATTGGAGGACGAGTTGGAAGAAGACCTGGCATTTGAAAGCGACGACGTAGTTGATAACAATAGAGGAGAAGTGATTCTCTGTAAACCTGGCGCAAAGTGCGTTGGTGTCGAAGAAGGATAGTGTAGTGGTTGTGTTTGATGTGTTAGGTGGCTAGGCAAATGATGCAACGAGTTAATTGGAGGTGGAAAAATCAGACTAGAATTCTGCAACCTCATAGTTGATGAAGTTGGAGGTAATAAGGGCGTGGAATTAGCTGTGTCGGTCTTGATTTCACCATTAGTTGACTTTTTCTTCAACTTTGGTGATTTCTTTCCACTACTTACAGGTACGCTTCTCGAATCTTTGGATTTTAATTCTGGGGTGTTAGGACTCGATGTTTTAGATGGATTAGCCTGCTTGATTCTATTTCTGGACTTGATAGTATCCGTTTTTAATGAGATCGGTCTAGGACGTCCGTGCAACTTCAAAAACAACCCACACGCATTGCACAATACTTGACCTGTTTCGTCTCTTCTCCAAAGCGGTGTGGTTTGTGTTTTACAGTTCCGACACACAGGACTCGTTATGTTTGTTTTCGTAGTCGTGGTGCCATTATTCACATGTGTGGTAGTTTTAGCATTAGGATGTACCGGATTAGCCTCAAGTGGTGTTGGTACCGGGAGTTGCTGTTGTATCTCGCTCATTGGAGGTCTTTCTATTATTTCTTGGAAAATTCAAATATCAACAAATATGAAAATAAACAATTACTATCCGATCAATATGTCAGTTCGAATGTAAAAATCAACAATGTAGTTCAATCGTGTATGTCAGGGATATTCAATAAGTTCAGTAGTATTCTATACTCAAGCCTATTCCAAAAAAATTTTTATAGTGAATGTCAGATAATGAAAAATTTTCTTTATCAATAGTGATAACTGGTATGCAAAATTGACCTATACTCAATCACTTGGTGTTCACCTGCGTCTAAATTTAATAACTATTATAGATCAAAATGTCTAGATAGTATATTTATGATTGATATATAATCAATGTCTCTGATTTTTGTTATCAATCTTTATCAGACCTGCTATGTAGTGAAAAATTTCTTTATCTTTATTCGAGGGATAGTGAAAAATGGCGATAAATTTTTTTCACTTTTTGTGTAATCAAAATTTCAGCTCGATTCTGCTTATGTAATAGAGATAAGGCAAAATCAATCGATAACTATGTGCTCCGTGTTTAAATAGGTGTATGGATGTAATGCCGTAGTAAACGGAAATAAGCGCGATTTGGAAGTAGACGATGTGTCCGGTGAAACGTGATTTTGTTGGTCGTCTTTCGCAAGTTAATGAGAATTAGCTCCGGAGGTATCCGGTGCCATTCAATTATTGCAGCCATGAGCGGCACTGCTCTCAGTGATGGATAATAATCCCTTTTATGATGAATTGTGATGCGAAGTGAACGAGGCCATTGGCGGTTAAAAGAGGGGTAACTAATAGGTGGTGAACTATGCTGCGGGCTTAGGCAAAGAGTAAGGTTCAGCTTCAAGTATATGTTAGCATAAGGTTCTAATTTGAGACATGGTAGGGTTTTAATGCACGATCAACCCTTACAAAGGTATGAAATTTATGCTGACATTGATAAACTAATAGTGTAGGTTTTACATGGGGATTAAGGTTAAAACGTGTATTAAAACGCATACATTGCAGGCAGGTAAAAATGTCTGTATATGTGTTGTTATTTTCTATTAAGTGAGGAATAGTAGTACATTGGTATTTAGAATGCTATTTTGCAGTACTCATTCTCATAGTAGTCATCTGATCCACGTATTGTCTTAAATGGTCATAGCCTACGATTTCGTATAGGTGTTTTGAGTCTCTTTTAATTAGCTTATTGTACATTTCACCGTTGACCACTGTGAGATTCTTCCTGGGAAATGAGTTCTGGGAGTAGTTTCCTACAATATAGAGGCCGCTAGTAGCGGCATTTAAGCACTGTAGCTTAGGATACTTTCGACCAAATGAAGATATAATGAGGTACGAATTTGGGTTGCAACAGTCATCTAATTCTACCGTGGGCCAGCCGAACTTGAAATGGGATGAATCGCTTGATTCCCCCTTACCACACTTAGCATTCAATACCTCCTCTATAAGTACTTTTTGGTGCGCATTCATGGCGATAATAGATATTTCGGGTGCGGGATACCCTAGCAATCTCATATATTGATATAATGCGACAGAATACTCGGCCTCATTCACACTCACTGACTCATTAGATTCCACATCCACGGGAATAATTTGATGGGTCTTTTCGAATCCTCCGTTTGCGGCTGCACCATTATATACACTGATCAATTCGTTATTGTACTCGTAATTATAGTATTGTAAGAATTCTTGTCTTGAGCTCACTTTTCGCAATTTAATCGATGGGACACCCAAAAATCTCCACCTTGACTTATTACTACGTGAGAAATCACCTAGTACAACAACTCTCCTTAAATAAGCATTGTTTACCATTGGCAAAAACCAATTGAACTGAGGTATGTTTTCTCCTATGCAAACAATGCTATCAAACTTCGTTTGGTAAACTTTTTGACTAATTAATGTCTCCGGTGTTACAAGTAGATACTGACAATATTTGCGGATAAGAAATTTAATAAGCTCGCCTTTTTTATTTTGGAACTTTACAAGGGGCGCTAGGTTCTGAATATCTTGAAAGACCTGAGTAATTGTTTTGTACGACACTACTATCTTCTGCATGTCACTTTCTAGCGATTCTCCTAATTCTATTTTAAAATAGTCCTTAAACGGGTATTTAGTAATTTGCAGTCTATCATTTTTCACTGTGTGTAAAAAATTTTCCCATGCTTGTTTGATCTTTGGAAATAACAATAAAGCATTATCGCACGTCTGGCCAAACCCCATATCTTTAAGGCCAACAAACTCTGATAATGTTTCCACTTGTTCCAATTTTAGTTTTAGAGTGTTAAATAACTTATCAAGCTTATCATTGTATTTCACCGGATCAGCATAAACCTTGAGAAATGTTGTCAATTCGATTTCAAATCGGTCTAAATATATTTCATTAGGGCAAAGGAACAAAGTTCTTTCTTTCGGGAAGTTTAACTGTAAATTATAAATTACTGCTTGCAATAGATGACCGTCTGAATTCTGGGGAGTATCAATAATAGTTACTCCAGTGCTTACACTAGGAATAATACACAGCGCTTGGTCATCACTTAACTGATAGGTAGATTTATCTCCAATGATTGATTTGACCGCTACTTTGTCAGCATCCTCATCAAATTTCAAAATATACGGTGGATCAGCAGAAACTTGATTGTCATTCACCTTACGACGTTTACTGTTATTCTCTATTTCAAGCTCATACTTCAATTGACTTGCATTCAAACAATCAATTTTCAATTTATACGGCCTATCATGTTGAGACTTGAAATGCGCAGCAGTTGGCTTATCTATTCCCAAGAATAAATCAGTTAAATATTCAGGTAATGTAATATTTGCAACATCAACATCATTACCAATTACTTTTAGCCTGTCTAGAGAGCTTGTCTCTGCTGGTAATCTTATGACATAGTTAAAACGATTTTCTAACTGAACGCTTTCGTTCCATTCTATTAGGATGTTTTTCTGTTTGTTTTTCCCACTAAGCTCTATAACTTTCTTAAACCTTACCATATTTAACCCATACTTTACCATTCTTTGGCGTGAAGAGTATTTATTTGGTTTTATCAATTGTATCAATAATATATAATCATTCTGTTTTATACTATCTAGCCAATCTTTGTTAGCCGAAATTGTTAGCTCAGCTGTTGACTTATCAAAAACATTTAATGATTCAAGTTTTGAAAAATATTTACTCGTTCCTTTTATTCTTAGGTTATTCTGTTGGTCTAACGATAACTTAAGTCGATCTAAAACTTGACAAATATGATTGTTAGCCAACCTTTTTATATCTGCCGTTAAGTTGAGGACCTCTCTAATAATATAGTCTCCCAAGCACAAATACTGTGTATTATGAATTTGTGGCAAAGGAATAGGTTGGAATAAACTTTCATTGGAGTAGATGTCATTAAACTCGTCAATTATATCTGCTTCCGAGTATCCATTGACAAGTTGACTCAAACCCTTGACATTATATTCAGGTGTAAAAACTTCATTTGCAATTGCATTTTTTATGAAGTCTGTATTCTTGAACTCATTTGAGATATGATCTATAATTTGTAATTTATTTGCTATGACGACTAAATCCTCAAGATCAAAATTGGAAAGAAATTCTTCTAATTTCTTAGGTGAATAATTATATACTGATGGGACTAAAATGAAGTCGTTAATTTTTTCTTGTTGTACACCGCTGAATCTCTCAAATATAATTTTTTGTAATTCGTAAAAGTTCTCTTGATACTTTGTACCTTCAAGGTACTCCTCGCCTGTAAAATCACTAATAGGATAAAATACGAAATTTTTTAAAACTTTGACAAATTCCAATAGTCTTCTATGATTATTTTCATCAACTGAATAAAAGCATGAAAGAAACTGCATACCTTTCAATAGGGAATTGAAGTAATTTCGTATTGGTAGCTGGCTTACACAGGAAATAATGGTTTGCATTAAACTTTCCAGATAATTGATAAATTCCGAATGCTTTATCATTTCCCCTTCTGTTATTGATGACATGTAGTTTGTTAAGACTGTATAAGCCCATCTTTGCTTCAATATTAAGTAAGATTTTGCAGACTTATTTTCACAATCCTCAATAATCGCTTGCCTGAGATTGAATTCTTTCTCTAAGTCATTCTTTTTAAGTAAGGTTTGATATTCATGCAAGTTCGACCAAGTGGTAATGCTAAATAAACCGTTTAAAGACTTTTTGACAACAGGATGGGACAATCTGAATGTCACCAATTGGTTTAGAAACAATAATATATTTTTATGGAGTCTTAAATTCGATAATTGGCAAGGAGAAATAGTAATATTTAGTAATCTTTCGAACAAAACTTGAAATGTTTCTCCATTTGTTAGAACAATGTCCATCAATTTGCTATAGCCTTGTTCAATATCGTACAATATGGTGCATACTAAAAGTTCAATATGGTTCGATGTGATATCCTGGTGAAAGAATGGCCATAAAACATTATTAAAATATGAAGTATTAAGCAAAATTTCGTATAAATCTCTAGAGTTTGCATTAATAACGATCTGATGCACCTCGTTAACTAACTTAGAACTGAATTTCCTTGGGGGTTTTGGATACCATTTTTTCAGTACGGATATTAATGAGTCATTAGACTCGACTCCTGAATATATATCCATATCTACCTGTTGTATTTTAATTTTTGACCCATTGCAAACATAAGTCTAGGATTTATTATAGATGCAATTAGTATCGGTCGTGTGCTAACCCAACTACATAAAAAATTTCGACTCGAATTTTTCAAGCTGAATTAAACGCTATTGGAGATAATTAAATCATCGTAAAGCATCGATAGTAATATGTTTCAAATAGGTTGTCGTTTGTTCTCTACGGGGAGACCGGTGTTTAATGCGGTTCCTCAAAAGATTCAGCCTATACTTGCAGCTAAACAATTCATACCGGATCAAGCTACTAGATCCAAAGTAAAATCTCTTAGAAGAAAAGAAGCAAGACTTAAGAGACAAATTGTTAGAGATGTTAACAATGTCAAAAAGCATTCTTTAGAAAATGTTAAGTTTCAAGTTGATCCAGTTTTAGGGGATGAAAACAATGCATTTATAAAAAGAGTGAGAGCCGAATTACAAGAACCAACAAACTTGGCATACGGATACAAAAGAGATGAATTTGAAAAGTTGTTGTATGGTGCTGAAAAGGCCAATATAGACAGAAACAGTGGTAGTAATATTTTACATGATTCTATAAGTGCATCTGAAGAAAGAAAGAAGAGAGCTTTGTTGACTATTCTCAATATTAAAAATACCAACGCACAAGACAGAAAGACGGCAGCTATTCAATACGCCCGTGAAGAATTTCAAAGAGAAGAAGGTGACACAGGCTCACCAGAGGTTCAGGCTGCTGTTTTGACCGTCAGAATTCACTTAGGAATGGATCATGTTAAACAATTCTTCAAGGACAAAGAACATATTCAACACGTTCGTCAAATGGTCCAACAAAGACAAAAGATATTGAAATACTTGAAAAGAGATAATGCTGAACAATACTACTATACTATTGCCAAGTTGGGTTTAACTGATGATGTTATCACCAGGGAATTCAACATGGGTAGACAATACTTACAAGATTACAAGGTTTGGGGTGATAAGCAATTGATCAAGTTATCCGATAAACAAAAGAAGAAGGAAGCCCAAATTGTTGAGTTGCAAAAGAGAGTTATTGGATACAATCAATTGGCCAAAAGAAATTATGAAGAGATTGAACGTCTTTCAGAATCAAAACGTTAGAAGTCTTACATACTTGTACATACAAATCAATAAAACGATATTATTTTCTATGATACACTAAATTACATTAATATTCTTGCACTTATGAATATCCTGACCCCTACAATTGACAACCCATTATTCTGTCATGGTAGCTATAAGATCATCCACGCTAACCTTGAAATCATCATTTCTAAGGCTCTTGAGGTCTTCACTTAAAGAATCCACCTGACTCTTCAAATCCGTTCTAATGGTTTCACTCTCTTCGCACAAAGAATTCAATTGTCCGTATAATTCCATATTATCAAGACACAACTGATTATATATCATCGATAAACTCTCTATAGATTCCTTCTTCGTCCCTGCTAGCGATGCTTCTATCAACTCTGAAGGGGAGACTCTGTCAACTTGAACTGGTGCTTCTTTACCCTCGATTTTTCTTTCTTCTGCCTTTTGTATTATTTCATCTAGCTCATCCAATTTAGTTTCTATATTACGTTCCTTAAAAATTAAATCAAATTCTTTAGTCGAATTATTATGCCAGAACTTGATAATTTGTGATCTTGCTATTTCTAATGATTTCTGCCCTTCTTCCGTACTAGCGATTGTTGGATAGCATGTTTTAATCTGGTCCATAGAAAGCGATTTTTTTATCGATTGTTCTAATGCTTTCTTGCACACTAACTTTAATCTCTCATAACGTATCCTATCTATCTCAGAAGACATCTTGTTTATATCATTCTTCATGTTATAACCGCTAGGACTAATGTAAACAAAGAGGTTTTGATTTTTAACTAAGACAATCACATGATTAGAGATGTTACACAAACCGCTTATATTAAATTCATACGTCTTACTAGGGAATAAGAACTGCTTTATACTAGTTAAAGAAACCAGGAAATAGTATAGATATGTCAGATCCACGTTCATTGATAGCAGAAGCAGAGAAGTTGGCTAAGCCAAAAACAGGATTTATGCTGTTTTTGTCTGGGTCCTCTAATTCATTCAGATTAGAGGAGGCAACTGATCTTTACATTCAAGCGGCGAATCAATATAGATTAAATAAAGACTTCAACCAGGCTGGAAATCAATTTGTTAAGGCAGCTGATATTCAAAAAGAATTGTCTAATCATAACGATGTTGCTAATCATTTAATTGAAGCTTATAAGTGTTATAAAGGAGTGTCTCCTACCGATGCTATTGATGCGTTATCAAAGGCTATCCACATCTTTTTGACTCAAAATGGACAATTCAGAAGAGCAGCCAATTTCACCATGGACTTGGCTGAATTATACGAATCAAATAGTGACACAGACAATGCCATTAAAAGTTATGAGCAAGCTGGAGACTATTTCACCACAGACCATGCGGAGGCCTTATCTAACAAAGCATACTTGAAATGTGCAGACTTAAGTGCTTTGTCTGGTAAATACCAAAAGGCGACCGAATTATATGATATAATTATTAAGAACCTGTTGGGAAATAATCTTACTAAGTGGAACTTGAAAGATTACTTTTTGAAGAGCATATTGTGTGTGTTATGCTTGGATGACGTTATTGAAGCCCAGAAGAAGTCTGCTAGTTATCTTTCTGAGGAGCCATCTTGGGAAGCTACAAGAGAATATAGACTTATCCAAGATATATTTGAGTCAATTGAACAAGGAGACGTACAAGCCTTCTCGGACAAGGTATTTGAATTTGACCAATTTAGTAAGTTAGACAAATTGAAGACTCAATTATTATTAAAGGTAAAGAATTCTGTAGTGGAGAAAGAAGATGATGATTTGTTATAAGGTATTCAATTAATCAAGGAAACTATTGTTAATATAGGAGTTATTTATTTCTATAGTTATGATTTCGATCTTTTTAAATCTATGTACGATCAAAGATTTACATTACAATGTGTGAATTAGATGTGTAATTAAATGGTATAATGATGTATTAGTGAATTAAATAGGAAACTATTAGTGTGAAAAATAAATAGAATGACGGCTTTAAAGAATGCAAGAGACAACTCAGACAGCATCATTTCTCTCTGCGCTTGAACAAAGATTTAAGCTTAGTGAAAACAAGATCTCTATCATAATCATTGACAACAACCTCACCATCTTCTGCTTTGATTCCCTCTTCGTGAGTTAACTCTAATGATTGAACACTTTCTAATTTATGGTCTCTTAATAAGAATGAAAATGCAATCAAGACAAAAGTTAAAACTAAACCAACGATACACAAAAGTCTTTGCGTTTGTGCATATGCTAGTGCAACAGCAATTCTTTCTGGAGAGCCCCATTTAAAGCCTGCGACAAAAGTAAAGGGGTCTTCATATGCCTGAGTAGCATATGATGAGTCAAGACCAGCTTCTTGAAACTTGTCTGTAAGATATTTGAAGGCTGTATTGGTCCATACAGCTCCACTAACACATGAACCGATACTTAAACCAATATTGTAGAAAGACAAGTATAATGAGATAACAATGGCCATATGTTCATGATTTGTACAAGTTGTAATAGAAACTTGGGTAGGATAAGTAAATAACCCAGCACCAAAACCCATGAAACACAAACCGCCAATAACACCGTTAAGGTACTTTTCTGATTCAATGCCATCACTTCCACCTCTGTAAGCTAAAAGAATAGCCATCGAGCCCATCCAACATAAACCACCGAATATTATGAATGGCTTCACTCTTCTAGCCCAAGGCACAATTAAAAGACCAAAGAGAACACCAACAATAGTCGAGACAAACGAGTATAATGAAACTATTCTAGTACCTGCCTTGATACTTGCTCTCATACCAACTGTTACGACAGTATACATATAATCATTTGGCATATACCACACGAAATCAATCAAAATGGCAATCACCAAGGCTGACCAAACACCACGATCCTTCATAAGAACAAATGGAAATACTGGAAACTTGGCAAATTTATACTCCCATATAATAAATGGTGCGATCATTACAAAACCAATTACTAAAGGAGCAATAACATAAGCTTCATGCCATTTCTCTTTGAGCCCTCCTCCCAAAGTTAATGGAACTAATATAAATCCAAGGATAATGATGATGAGAAGAACCCCAACCACATCAATCCTCCAAAATAAATCAACAAACATATTCTGTTTCCACGATTTCCATTGATTGATTTCCTTTTCCTCTTGTCTTATTTGCTTCCATTCAGGGGTCTTACTACCTTTCCATTGCATAGCAATTAAACAACCAACAAATGGAATACAAGACAATGGGAAGATAAACGCCCACATACCTATACTGAAGTTCCAGGAATAAGTGCCCAATGAAGCCTCAGTAACATTACCCGAAATCCATGTGTTAATAATAAAAGGCATGGCAGGGACAAGTGAGCATAACAATCTCCAATTCAAGTTCGAAAAATCGGCTAAGACAACTTGTAAGACCAATATAACACCAGTATATCCAACTTGGTACAAAACTGTACCACCAGCAAATCTATACATATCATAAGCTTGTGATTCAATCACAGTACCCATGGCGTAAAATATAATAGCCAAAATGAACATTTCAAGTCTACCAAAAATATCTGACAATCTTGCGTAAGTAGGTTGAGCTGCAGCACTAATAACACCCTTAATGACATTAACCGTAGATAATAAAGAATGTTGTCCATAAGAAGCAGTGGCCTGTGTCTGGTAGACGCTTCTAACTGTCCCATCTAAAGAATAACTATAAGCACAAATAAACACACTAAAGAGGAAGAAAATCCTGAAAGCTGGATGAGTGAATTGCTCAACCAAAATTTCTGTTCTCCGAACACCAAATGACTTAGAAGTGGACTTCACCACCATTGGAATGGATTGTTCGTTGTAACTTAATGGAACATCTTCACTACCACTATGCTCCTTAAGCTTGCTGCTCTTGTCAAAATCTTCAGTTGCAGTAGCAGCTGCAGTGTCTCTAACAGAACTAGTTTCACTGTAACTCATCTTTTCAAAGTCGTTGATGGAATAGATAAAAAAATTTCAAAAATATTTTTGCGAACTCTTCCTCTTTAATACAAAGCAAAATATTTACGAGCCAAAAAGAAATATTTATTTCTTAAGAGATTATCGAGATAAGCCCCAAGACCAAGCTCTTGAAAATTTTCATGTCTATGTATTTCATCTCGCATGCATTACTTGGCAAGGAAAATCCTTTGCCCTCCTTTCGGCAAGTCACTGAATAGTTTAGCATCAAAATTTACAGTCATGGGTTGCCTCAATTATCGTCCGAAAGGCGGGAGATGCCATCTGATAATTGGACAAAGTTTAATTTTATACTTGCTATGTCTCATTTTTACTCTTCCTTCCCCATATAGTTTAAATTTCGCGGCACAAATGCAATTGCACTGAGTAGATTCACCGTTGTGCTCGTAACAAGTGAAAATTTTTTTATCAGCTAATCAGATTCCTGCAAGACAATAACGGCCCGTAATTGAACTTTTAACTATATTTTGCCTCATTAGCATAATAACATTATGCATAACTCTCGTTCCGAATATGCAAAGAGAACCATTTTTAGGCTATTTATTCGCAAAAAAGGTCTAAACTATTTCTACATTAGGATAAATTTGAAAAAATAAATACCATTAATTGGAATTCACGTAGCATAACTAATACATACGTCAGAAAAGTCTAATACAAAGTAAGATGGAAAGTCATTTGTTTACACTGGCTTGCCACCGAGGAATTCACTCCATCTTCTGACTTCATGTGGAACGACAACGTCAGAAGGAATCTCATCGAACAGAGACTTGGCAGCGATTTTAGCCTTCAAACATTGCGCAAATAACGCAGATGTATTTGGTTCGTTGAATAATGCAATACCAAAGTCAATGGCATTTCTTCTCATGACATAGTCTTCATCTAATAAGTCTTCTGCTCTAGCCTTAGCCAAATTGAATACCGCAGAAACCTTGTGTTTTTGGAAAATTTCTCTCAACGCTCTCTTGTCTGTTTTAGGAAATTCAATGACTTCAATGTCTTCAGTAACATACGCCTGTAAATATTTTGCAACTGCGTCAGATGCAGTGAAAAATTTGTAGCCGAGACCAGAAATCGTTGCTGCAACATTGCCTAACTTATCGTTGGCCAAATCTCCGCCGAACAAGACACCTGAACCTGGTTGAGGAACAGTGAAGTTCATAGTAGATTGAATTGAAGTCCAGTAGGCTTCAATTAAATCATCACCAAAACATGCAATTTCACCAGTAGAAGACATTTCAACCCCAAGGAATGGGTCAGCGCCTGCTAATCGGGTGAATGAAAATTGAGGTACTTTAGTAGCAACATGATTATATTCCTTTTCCATCAAATTAGTTGGTTGAGGAACATTTTCCTTAATTAATGCCTTAGTAGCGACCTCGATGAAGTTAACACCTAACACCTTGGATACGAATGGGAAAGAACGTGAAGCACGAATGTTACACTCAATGACTTTCAATTCACATTCATTATCATTTAATGAGCCATCTTGGTCATTTTTAATAATTTGCATGTTGAATGGACCAGTGATCTTCCAGGCTTTGGCAACCTTGTCTGCAATTTCCTTCAATCTATTCATGATGATTGGAGATAAGTTTTGTGGTGGTAAGACCAATGTAGCATCACCTGAATGAACCCCAGCATTTTCCACATGTTCAGAAACTGCATGTACTAAAACTTCACCTTCGCTAGCCACACCATCAATATCAATCTCTTGAGCACCTTGTATGAACTTGGAAATAACAACTGGGTAGTCTTGGGAAACCTTTGAAGCATTGCCCAATTTTTCTGCCAATTCAGAATCGTTATTAATAACAGACATCGCAGCCCCACTCAAAACATAGGATGGACGAACTAAGACAGGGAATCCAACATCTTCAGCAAATTTCTTGGCTTCTTCAATAGATGTTAATTCCTTCCACTTAGGTTGATCAACTTCAATAGAATCTAAAATTTGTGAGAATTTGTGACGATCTTCAGCCTTGTCAATATCTTCTGGGTTAGTACCTAACACATTGCAGCCTGAATTTTGTAAAGTCAATGCAATGTTTTGAGGTAATTGACCACCAACACTTACGACAACTCCTTGGGCATTTTCTAATTCATAAATATCAAGGACTCTTTCCAATGATAATTCTTCGAAGTACAATCTGTCGACTTCATCAAAATCGGTGGAAACAGTTTCTGGGTTATAGTTAATCATAATAGTCTTGTGTCCAGATTCTCTTAAGGCACGGGCAGTGGAAACAGCACACCAGTCAAACTCAACTGAAGAACCAATACGGTAAACACCAGAACCCAAAACCATAGTACCTTTATCATTGAAAGTCAAATCAGACGAAGTAGCATTATAAGTTGTATACAAATAGTTGGTATTAGCTGGGAACTCTGCTGCTAAGGTATCAATTTTCTTAACAAATGGAGTGATACCAAATTGTTTTCTAACATCCCTAACTTCTAATTCCTTTGCAGAAACACATAAACCAATTTGCTTATCTGAGAAACCTAATTTCTTAGCACGAGTCATCAAGTCAATATTGATATTGGACAAGCTTCCAGCACTTTCTAATTCTTTGTACATATTTACAATGTTCATTAATTTGTATAAGAACCATTTATCAATCTTGGATAATTCATGAACTTGATCAACCGAATAGTTTTCATGAAGTAAAGCTTGCCCGACAGCTAACCATCTTCTATCAGTAGGGTTAGCTAATGCATCATCTAAATCATCGAATTTATCACCTTGGAAACCAATGTAAGATGGATCAACTTGTCTAATGGCCTTTTGGAATGATTCTTCAAAGTTACGACCAATTGCCATAACTTCACCAACGGATTTCATAGCAGAACCAATATCTCTCTTGACATGTTGAAATTTAGCCAAATCCCATCTAGGAATCTTTGTTACCATGTAGTCCAACGAAGGTTCGAAGTTAGCTGAGGTGGTCTTAGTGACTGGGTTTGGCAATTCTGGTAATGTGTGACCTAACGCAATTTTAGCTGCAGTGTAAGCTAATGGGTATCCAGTAGCTTTAGATGCTAATGCAGAAGAACGCGATAAACGAGCATTAACTTCGATAACTCTGTAATCTAACCCGTCTGGTTGTAACGCATATTGAACATTACATTCACCAACGACACCCAAGTGTCTAATAATCTTGATAGCAGCACTTCTCAACATATGGTACTCTTCATCTGATAAAGTTTGAGATGGAGCAACAACAATCGAGTCACCTGTATGGATACCTAATGGATCAAAGTTCTCCATATTACAGACAGTTATACAGTTACCAACACGGTCACGAACCACTTCGTATTCAACTTCCTTCCAGCCCTTCAATGACTTTTCAACTAAAATTTGTGGAGCCAATGATAAAGATTGAGAAGCTAAGTTTCTTAATTCTTGTTCATTTGCAGCGAAACCAGAACCAAGACCACCCAAAGAATAAGCAGATCTAACAATAATTGGATAACCAACGTTCTCAGCAGCAGCTAAAGCATCGTCAACAGTTTCAACAGCAATCGATTCAGCTATTGGAATGTCGATCTCTTTCAATGCTTGAGAGAATAAATCACGATCCTCGGAAGTTTCCAAGGTCTTGATAGGAGTACCCAAAACCTTGACTCCATATCTTTCAAAGACACCCATCTTTTCCAATTTAACACCAACGTTTAAAGCAGTTTGACCACCAAAGGTCAAGAGAATTCCGTCTGGTTTTTCCCTTTCTATAATATAAGTAATGTATTCCGCAGTAACAGGCAAGTAGTATATTTCGTCAGCCAAAGAGTGAGAAGTTTGATTAGTAGCAATGTTAGGATTAATCAAAATTGACTGCTTATTTGCTTCCTTCAATGCTTTTATAGCTTGAGATCCAGAATAATCGAATTCACCAGCCTGTCCAATCGATAAACCACCAGAACCAATAACTAAAACCTTCGACACATCGACTAGTTTTTGAGCATTATCGTCTGTAAACTGCTTTAATAATTCAGCACCAGCATATACAGGTTGCTGATTCTTTAATGGAACATTAAAGCTTGAAAATTTTTTAGTGTTCTGATATGATAACAATTTAGAACGATTGAAGCTAGTAAATGTACTAGACTTCACATTCCGTTTTAATAATGATCTGATAGTAATCATTATGTGGAATGTTATACTATTAATTACACTCTTACTGATAAATAGAGTTAATAACTAAATTCTTTCAAAAAAAAAGTATATTAGATTAGGCCTATAATCTTTTTTGAAAAAATTGATGGCCGAAACAGGTAATGAGTCAGAGTTAACCGCGTTGTAAGATCAGCTAGTGTTACCCGGTTTTAATGGTGTTACCCGGCAATCATCATTAATTTTGCTTGAAACCTTTTTGTGTCAATTACTCAACAGCTGCAAATGCTACTAGGACAATTGTCATGTAGTTGTAGATGAAAAGTGTTCATGCAATATAATTTGATATTATGTAGTGGTTCAAAAGCAAGTAATAAGCATTAATTATTTTCGAGTTGCTTTGAAGAGATTACTACATTATTGGGAATATTGCAAATATTTTGCAATATCACAAAATTAATGAAAATATTCATAAAACTGATATAATTGAAGAATTTATAATGCCATATTACTGAATAACCAGCAATCTAGCGGGGGAAAAAACCTGTATGTTTCACCCAAATATCGAAACATATTACTAGGGCGTATTAGTTAGAAATTGATTTATAGAGACCTAAAAGTTTATTATTGTTAACTAATGAAGTTCATATTTTAACCGTTGATGCAAATTATTTCGCAAAATGAAATTTGCGCATTTAAATTCTACCTATGATAGATGATGATTGAGAACTGAATGATCTTCAAATATTGGATAAAGCATGTCATCTCTAAACCTAAATTTATTCCCGTCGTTGTCACCGACTAAAGCCACAGATAATAACCTGGAGGATACTCTTGCAAGACATTCAGATGTTATCGTATCGACAAATATAACACTGTATGCTGAATACAAAGGATTTTTCATTTACGTCATTAGTGCAACCTTTCTTACTATATGGGTTTGTTGGACTCTTATACCAGATCCAGTATTAAGGAGTATGTCGATATATTATTATCCTGATAAATATTGGGCATTAGCCATTCCAGCATATACGCTAATGTTGATGGTTTATGTGTATGTTGCGTTGGCATTGTACAACACTGAAGTTTTGACTTTACCCTTAGATGATGTACGAAATTTTGTTGACGAACATTCAGTTTTAGTTGGTTCTTCTGAAGCTGATGAGATAGCGAAGGCTAACAAAGCTATAGAGTATCTCTGGAAGTCTCCAAGCGGGGTGTGGGATTTACCTGTTACTTTGGTGAACGAAGTACTATACGGCGAAGAGGAAGAAGTAGAAGTTAGCTTATAGCTTTACATAATTTAATGAATTACGAATTAAGTCTTATAGACAAATAAAAATCTAAATAAGAAACAATAAATATATATTCTAGATACCATTCATGCATTTGTGATTAACTTTTTCTAAACTTTTGGATTTAAATTCCGTAGACCCTTCCAAGGTATTGCCTTGTTTCTTGGTCAATATGACACATTATTTGAGTTTCCCAAATTTCACTTCCAATCATATTCTTATAACTAACTAATAACTGTCCAAACATATTCTTCAAAGACTCTGGAGGTTCCAAGTAATTCCCAATACATACAAAAAATATGGCTAAATTCTTCTTACCTTGTTGATTTGACAAGCCACCAAATCCTTGATCTGGATTTCCATTAACTATATTAAGCATACCTTGAAAACCAGTTTCTTTTTCGTTGTTATCTACTAAATATAACATCTGTGAGCACCATTGAAGTATGAACTCCGAAAGTCTTGGCGAAATCACTTCAGATCCTCCATTAAGACCCATTCTACCAAGACAAATAGCAGCATTTTCCAATACTGTTTGTTGGGTATCAGAACTGTTCAAGACAGGAATAACCAAGTCAACTAAATTACTTAAATATGGTTTGATTTCGTCATAAGACAATCTCATAGCTATTTCACCCAAAGCCCATATAGCATTATTGTAGACTGGGAAAGAATTATAGGTTCTATTATTAATTTCATTTCCAATGCTTATGAATATTGGTTGCAAATATGGTTTAACTGTAGCATCAACTGTAAAGATTGCCAAGTCACCTAATAATGCATATGCTGATTGTCTTACATCATCAGTATGATCTTCAAAACAAATCATAACTAAATCCATCAAATTGGTTCCATGCTGTTGAATCAACTCGATAGAATGTTGACCAAACCCTTGAATTAAGCCATCTATTAAGTCTAATGATGTCACCATAAAATCTTTTTCTGGGGCATCAATTAAGGCATCAGTCTGACACTGTTGGTCTAATTCAATACAGTTTGACAATATTTTAATAGCTCTTTCATACACTGGTATAGCGTATGGAGCAAATAACTCTCCTAATGTGGCTGCAATGGACGCCATACATTCCAATAATGGCCATAATGCAGTATCATTATCATCCAAAATTTGCCATTTATGTAATAACGGAGGTAACAAAGTATTTATATAGTCTGGCTTTGATGATAACTTTTCATAACCCATTTTTTCAACAAATGTCTGAACACAATCGTATAAAATAATCAAATTCTTACGTTGATAAGTCTGGAAGCATTTTGCGAAATGGTCTAACAACGGATCCAAATAGAATTCAATTAATGATACATCGGATTCTTCAATAAACGAAGACAATGCAGAACATGCAGCTTCTTGGACTACTTTCTTGTTGTCTAAAGCACAAGTAACAATAGATTGAAAAGTTGGCTGGAAATAATTTGCATATTGACCTCCTTCGTGCGCTTCTTCAGCTACCCAGGTAGAATACCTCGATAATGTCCAACATGTTATTTGTCTCACTCTAGGTTCTTGATCTTGCAATCTGTCAACTAAAAATGGAACCAAAGTCGGTAATTTGTCTCTAGATAATTCAATACAACTTTTGCTTATAGCACCAAACGCAAGTATAGCAGCTTCACGAACAGGCCATTCAGGTGAAACAATATGTTCTTGCAATATTGGCAATGAAACATGTAATACCTCTTCTGGAAAATTGAGAGATAATATATCAAGGGTAGCTGCAGAACATTTTCTTAAACTCCATTGATCAATTTCCAGATCTTCATCATCTTCATCCTCAAATTCAGAATCAGTATCATCATCAAAGTCAGGTTGTTTAGTATCTTTTTTATGCTCATGATTAGTTGCTGCAGTATGGGAATCTTTCGATTTTGCAGTTTGTGGCTTGATATCTTCATCCTTGTCAGCAATATCAGCATTGTCTTTTTCGTCAACCATTTCCATATAAAAAATTTCCTCTTGTGAATAAACCATCTTCTCCAATAGGGTGGGCAATATTATTTTCAACTTTGGATTGAAAAGAGTTTTATCTGATTCGGTTTCTGGGGATGTTGACAATGCTAATAAAAATTCACAGGCTTCAAGTGCTACTTCTTCGTCAGAATCTTGCATCAAGTGTAAACAATAGTTAATAACACCATCTAGGTGGGGCATAATCTTGTCAGGTCTTGTTTCCAAGATCATTGAAAATGAAGTACAGATATTCCTTCTTACTTCATTATTAGAATCTGTCGCCAAATCAAACAATTTTTGTAAAAATTCGTCCAAATGAATTAAAAACGATTGAGTTTTTAATGGAATAAACTGATTAATACAATGTATTGACAAGGCTCTGATTTTACCGCTATGTGGATTACTGGATAACTTTAAAAAGTTAGAAATCATGAAGTTCAAAGGTCTTTCACCATTGAATTCACGATCTAACGATAATGCACTATCTTCACAAATCTTACTCAAAGCACCAATGGCTGCTTCTTGAGCAATACATGTCCCATCAGGAGAATTAAGGTTTGCTAATTCAATGAGTTGCGGTAAAGCTTGAGGCCAACCTTCGATTCCAAAAATGGAAAATAAAGACGTGATCACATTACCTGTAATATTCCTTACCATATTATCATGGACCATTAATCCTTTTAATATATTCTCTAAGAGATATTGTCTGTTTTTAACGTGATTCGTGTTATTATTCTTTAAAATACTGTTCTTCAAATTAATACCTGCTGCTGCTCTCACGTCGGATCTAGCAGTATTATCCATGACTAAGATGTCAAACAAATAGTTTTCTATTTCAGGCTGTTGTCTAGCTTGTATTAATGCATCATTTGCTAAACTTCTTTCTTGGTTATTTGACGATAATGTACCTTTAAAAATATGTTTTAATTGCTCTAAAGCTTCTGGATCTGCTGTCCACGACATCTTGACACTTCCTCCGCTATTTAGTTTTTTCCAAAATTAATTCGAGAAGTTATTCTAGATCCTATAAAGCCTTATTCAGCTCTATATGTAACAATTAACTCTGAATGAAACCTATGAATTGAGTGCTATTCCTATAAATTTTCTTAAAAAAATTGAATAAAAATCTATGCGGCTAATTGATGAGAATTCGCGCGCTACATAACCAGTATATAAATTAGAATACTATATTAATATTAATATAAATCATCATAGATTTACAATGTAATAGGGTACAAGTGTAAAAATAGACACTTGTCAATGCTTATGCAGTGAATGCCATTGGTGGCTATACCAATTCATCTAATCTGGCCAATTTTTCAGCAAGCAGATCAAATTTCCCGAGAACTGGCATAAACATTTCATGAACAGGTTTTGATTTTCTCTTATCAGTAATGTCTGTTTGAGAAGGTAATATGCCATTAGTTAAAGAGTTAGAGCTTGTTAAAGGTGTTATTATACCAATACCATCAGAATCTCTCTGCTCATCTTGTTCGCTTTCGTTACGATAGTAATAATCATCATCGTAATCATCATAACCGTCGTAATCATCAAAATCGTATTCATCTTCATCTTCATCTTCATCTTCCACATTCTTATTTAAATTTTTCAGATCTGAAGAGATGCTCGAGCTTTTAAGATTCTGTAAGAAATCATTATCATTACTATAAGACTCATAATCGAAACCGTTCAAATTTAGCTGCTCTTGGATATCAGAGGTTATTTTATTAAGCCTATCCAAAACATTAGATCTCCTAATTGATGACATGTCAGCTTCATCATCAAAGGCTTGCTCATCTAATCCAAGATTAGAAGACGAGAATTTTTTTCTTTGAGGTGGAGTATCTGGAGAAAATGATCCAATCGACGAATTATCCTGCTGATTTTCATTAAAAATGGGTGGTTTCATAAATTCTTTGTACGGATTGTTAAATATTATTTCTTCCACTTCGTCCTCATCAGCATTATGGTCATCGGCATTGTCGGATCCTGCTGCTTCACGAACATCATCACTACTATGTACGTTATTGCTATTATTTCTATTGAAACCAGTTTTATTTTCAGAAATCTCTCTGTCTATAAGAATGGTATGGCTTGTTTCGGCATCGTCATCACCATCCAGAATTTCAATTATTTCCGGCGAATGGGTAACGATTGATTGTGTTTCTATTTTATGCTGATGATCAATTAACGTTGCCTTGCCTCTTGATTTATTACTTTTTAACCCTCTCTTATCGTTGTTTTTGTTAATAACTAATGGCATCTCGTTGGGATATACATCACTTAATACTTCTGAAGTTTTGTCTTCATCATTTCGGGGTAAAGATAATGATTGTAACTCATCATGAGAAATTGTCAATAGATGTTGGCCAAATTCTTCCTTATTAACATTATCATCTTCTTGATCATAGAAATCTAATATTCCTAAATCCTCGAAGGTGACAGATTTATTTGTCTTGGTATTTCTTCTTATTAAATTAGTAGATGGGATGATTTCATGTGACAAATTTGATTCTGCTGAATTATTTTCCAAAGCTGAAGGATCATTCTCTAAAATTTGAATAGAGTCATCATTATTGAGATTTTCTCTAGATAGCTTTTCTAGTTCTTCATTTTTAAAACAATTGAGTCTAGCAAGCCTTTCTCCGTATGTTTCAAGACATTCAGCAGGAACGAATCCAATTTTTCCATATTCTTCGTCCCCGAAGGGATCTTTAGGAACTTCTTCGCTTCCATTCAGTCTCTGAGAGATAACTGCGATCCTTTCTTCTTTAGAAAGTTTTTTGATTAAACACCAATAGTTGTCTTCATCGTTAAGCAAATAAACAGGTTCGTCTCTCGACAATATACAATGCAGAGGGTCGGGCCCTGAAAAATCATATAACCCGTATACTTTATCAGGATCAATTTCTCTTGGAGGCGATCTAGGAGGTTCAGGTGAAAGCAATAAGTCATCATCATCATCAAAAAACATTTTTTCATTACCATCACCTTCATCAACGTATGTATCGTCTTCATCATCATAGTTCATTTCTGGTGTAGCATTAAAGCGAGACTCATGCTGCGATTGATCTTCGTTTTCCTCCGAGTTTTGAATATTACATTCTCCTTTTCCATTAGGTATATCTCCATTATTTTCATAAAAATTGTCTTTTTTGGAATCAAAATTAGTAACGTAGCCTTTCTGGCTATTTGCTGATGCATATTTATCATCATTATAGGTCCTGCCAAGCTTCGTTAAAAATTTTTGCTGTCTTTCTTCGAATAACTCATTGGGATTGAATTCCTCCTCATTTGCCTTGATATACTGAAGTACACTGGATTGTATATTTTGTTTTCCTATGCCTGAAAAATTTCTATCAACTATTACTGATGAGGCATGCGACTGTTGGGTTTGGTTTGATGACGAAGATGTATTAGATACTATTGACAATTTCCGTTCTAAATCTGATAGTAGTCTATTTGTTGCCCATAATGTATCATTATGGGGTTGATCTGAATCCATTTGGAACACTTTACAGTTCACTATTGAACAATAATTAATAGTATTTTTGCATAAGTCACTAAAAAAATTGTTGTTTTGTAGATAGGAAAAATCGCGTTTTAGATCTCAATGTTATTGCGTAAGATGAAGTTTTAGCCGTGTCTCGAATTACAAAATACCAAGTTAATGAATTGTTTAACGATCTTAAGCGATCTCTGATCTATTAAGTATTGAAAAAGAAAAATAAACTAATTAAATGCATATATATATATAAGTTATTTTTGATTAACCTTTCTGATCTAGTCAGTAGACAATAATAATTGGCCCTCTGCTTCTCTGGGGTTGATCTCCATAGATGGATTACTTTCAAGCTCATGGTACTCGCTAGTGTTCGTTTCATTATGCTGGTGATATTCACGATGATGCTTGAGTCTGCTTTCATATAACTTAACTTTCTTTCTAATTCTTTTCAATTGCCATTTTATTGGAACTAATGGTAACACTCCTTGTTTCTCTTCGTATAATTTTATTTCTAACCACAACGCAACAAATAACCAGTATACACAGTACGAGATAACACTTCCGTATGTTGCAGAATTAGTCCAACCAATTATTGCATTCAAGACCATCCACCAGCCATCAGTTAATCCATTGCAACAGTTGACATGCCAAACACTGTTTGCTATATCGTAAGACCCTGGACCGCTACCAGTTTCACTAACATCCAAACCACCACATAACCTAACGTATCTTTCCAATTCTATGAACCAAACTCCTCTGCTCATTAAGCCAGCACTGACAATATACAAGAAACAGGTCAGGAAGATTAAAAAATATTGTAATGACATCTTGTTACCACCTTTGTACAACATATAACCAATGCTTGAACCTACTAAAATACCACCTACAATTGAAAGCGGAATTGAGGTTGGGGGTTGAGACATGCCAATCCCCCCTACAAATACCACGGCTTCTAAACCTTCTCTTAAAGTAGTGATCAAAGGTAATATCGCCAAGAAATATTTCTTTGTAAAAGACAGTTTTCTAGGTCTTTCATGACTGACTGACGAGCCAGACAATTCACTATCTATGCCATCACTAGCTTCATTATTGTCTGGGTTTATGCTGTTGCTGTTGTCTTCGGTGTTATAAGCAGATCCCAATTTTACCCACCATTTAACTTTCATAACCTTATTAATTCTTAATAAACCAATGCCCATTACAGTGATAATTATACTCGATAATAAAGAAAATACTCCTTCCCATAATCTTTCAGTGTATGACCAATAGTCCTTACCAATAATGTAAAAGCATGTAATAAAGATTAACCCTATTACGAGACATATTAATAATCCAATCACAGCACCAGCCCATACCTGAAGCTTAAGCCTTTTCTGTTCTTTCTCATGCCTTTCAGAAATCTCCGAATCCCTTGAACTTGATGGTGATGTCTTCTGCCCATCATGAGAATGCGATCTTTGATTTATAAATGAAAGCAAAACTGATATGATAATAGCAGTTTCTAAAGTTTCTCTCAATATTATAAAGAATATCTCGATAGAGAAATAGTCAGAAAGTTCAATCATAATATCTCTTAGACTTGAGCTTTCTATGCCTTGATGATCAATATAGTCAATTATGAACAAGAAAATTTGATTTCGCAAAGGCTAAGAAATTTACGAGCTACGGCCAAGACAATAATTTCAGCTTATACTAGCAACTAATTTTCAGTATTCTGCCGCAAACACATCCAATATCTACAATCTATTCAAATTAAGCATGCATTTAGAAAAACAAGTAGCTGAAAGCGTAAGTAATAAAACCTAAAAACTTCGTTAAGTCAAACTGAAATAAATATATCAGAGATGTAGTGAAAATGAATACAAAAATCAAGCTGTATATGTATGCATGAAAAGAAATCTAGCAACATTACGTTAGGTAATATAGCTCTGATCAAACTGGTGGGAATTCAACCATGGCTGATAAGCAGGTGATAAAGATATCATCCTTAGTGTAGGCTCTAGCATTTACAATGTATTTTCCAGGAGGAACTTCAGCTGGAATTTCGACCCTCTTTTCAATTACTTGCTGACCTTTTGAAATAGGACATTCCATGTCAATCTTAGTGATTTCCTCGCATAAGTCGAACGTTTGGTGGAGCAATTTAATGAAACCATATCTAACATCTACTTCAACGTATGCACCCTCTTCAATATCTTGAGACAAGACTCCCTTTGCCACGAAGGTCAAATTTTGTCCTCTAAGTGGAGGATTTGGGTCGATAACTACGCTTTGCAAGTTCAAAAGCTGTGGTTCGGATGCTTCACATTGAACGATAGGAGAATCTCCAGGAACAGGCTTATCATCGGGACCAGCAAACGTCAAAATAAGTTCAGGTTGTTCAATTCTTGAATTAGGAGTCTTAATGTCAAACACTGACATTGCTTTATCAATGTAGGAACGAGCACCTACAATTGATAACGACTCAACCGTAGCAATTGTAAAGGTTAAAGCCAACAAAGCAATACTCTTGTAGGCAACCATGATAGCAGTAAAATTAAAGCGACGACTTCTCTATGTGTTATGCAGAATGTTTAAAAGTCTAACACAAGAATTAAATAACGGTAAGCAATTATGACTTATTGGTAACCCTTTTATCAATAATCTGTCATTTGGGAGAATTTCTATATACAGGTCGAGGAATTAGATACGGCTTACGGAAGATAGAAGTACATATATAATGGCCCTATATTACATATAGACTATGAATAGTGCATTATAAACGATGCAAAAGTGTATAAACCTAACGGCAAAGAATTAAATAAAAATATATATGACAACTTATGCTCATGCTGAGATGACTAGATTTGCGGTCATAGTATCAAACCTTTCTCTTACTAATTTTGCTTGAATCTTTAATAGTTCATTGTATACGGCGTATCCGTCTGGAGTTTTCAATAGCTCGTTAAGTTTACTCTCAGAAAGTTTCCATGTTAAAGTGTCGTTGACTGTAGTGTAAACCATATCTCTGTAATTCGAGCCTTTGTCATATAAATCACCAAAAGCAGTCATTGGTAGAATACTAGAACGCAACTCACGACCGTCACTTTCGAATTTGCAAACGGATCTAATCAACCCAGATTCCACTATGAAAAATGCCGGACGGTCTTTAGACGTATCGTAAAACGTGTAGTCTTCAGGGATTTGCTCTTTGATAAAATAGGGTGTTAATTTTGACCAAAATTTATCGTTCTTGTCGGATAATCCAGCAAATGTGATCATAATTAATGGTAACGGTTTCCTTCTTAGCGAATCATTGGTGACCGATAAGCGATTTTGAATGCCTTGTTCGTAATTAACAGTTCGTTCAGCAGCCTTGTATACTTGCGTAGTCCGAGGAGTAGCGTATTTCATATCCATTGAGTGATTTGATAACAATTTATCTGTATCTGGAGTCCCCATAGAGCCAATTGAATTAAAATTTGTGCCTATAGCTTTGCTAATTGGGGTGTGTTTTTGCTTCCTCCTAATCAATTTGTATGTGGACAAGAAGCAATTCTCACACCATTCTAATGCATAATTCAATGTACTGAAAAGTTGAATATCAAGGTTATTTTCGGTATCCCATAAACCGGCATCTCTCAACGCTTTTACTATATCATCCTCATCGGTAACAGATGAAATAATCAACTGAACATCATATTCATTTGACAAATTTAACATCCTTCTAAATCCCTCAGCAGCAGAGAAGTCAACAGAATCAACTCCTTTCATATCTAAGATAAGAAATTTTATTGGGTTTTCCTTAAACTTGTCATCTTCAAGTCTTAAACGAATAACATCCTCAACTCCCCCAATAGATCCAAAGAAAACAGTACCTTGCAACTTGAGAACACAAATTTGATCCCCAACATCTTTTAAAAACTCTTGTTGCTTAGGATGCCTGAGAACAGTAGACCTGGCTACTACTCCAGTATAAATTCCTCTCACAACAGGTCTTCTAGCAGCCTCGATGACGAATAACAAACATGCTAACAAGATACCCGCAAGGACTCCATATACAAAATCCCAGGCTCCCATAACAACGACAATGATAAGAATGGTAGAATATTCAAGCCTTCTTAACTTACCCCATGTATCATATAATGCCTCCTTTAATAATTCATAACCCAAAAGATAAATCAAAGCACCAACAACACAAACAGGGATATATCCAATCAAGACAGGGCCAACGACCATAACTGCTCCAGTAGCAATTGCAAGCAAAACACCTGCCAACCTTGCATCCGCACCTGCTCTTATAAATAAAACGGAATTAGTGTAAACCAAATAGTTTTGAATTGAGCCTAATAATCCAGATAATACATTTGAATACCCATGAGCAACCAATTCTCTATCAACATCAATTTGGTCCATTTTTATAGTGGCAGCTAATGCAGGTACGTTAATAGGAATATGCAAAATCCCGAAAAAGGTTAACGCCAACATGGTAGGTACTTGTTTAGCTATACACCACCAATGGACTAAACTGAAATCATATAAATCGTAAAAACTATACCAAGGCTCATTTGCCTCAACCTCAGGGAAAACCCAACCATATTGTCTTGCTGAGTCTAAACTCCACCCAGGAATAGCGAATACTAAGAAATGAAACATGACGAAAACCCCAATAAAGAATAAGGGGACTAATAAACTATTATGAAACTTAGTTTGCATAACAATTAAAATCAAAGCTAAAATTAAAGGAATAACCCACTCCAACAAAGTGATGTAGTTATTGAATAAGTAGAAGAATGTAGGTGCGTTGTAGTAAATACCACCTTCTAATCTGGAAGAGACTTCAATACCGGTAACAACTAAGAAGTAACCAACACCACCAATGCAACCTACTAAAATATGTCTCGGAAAAAACCCCACTAGAGATCCCAATTTTAATTTACCTAATAAAAAGAAGACTAATCCTGTGAGTATAGACAGAATTGCATAAGTCACAATAGTTGTAGATATAATCGCATCCTTATTTTCTTCAGGAGAGCCGATTTGCTCTAATATAGATAATGCCATAACGTGAAAGAATGGAGTGACTTCTATCATTTCTGAACCAATACCAGCCCTAAACGCAGATCCACCTAAAGAAAATATCAATTGGGAGACAATGCACGAGACATAGAACATAGATAACCCTGCTGGTGCTAACGAGGCAAAAATGGACTCACTTATAGGGAACATAATCATACCATAAGATAAACCATCCAATATATTTAAAAGTGTACCAAGGAATACGGCAGGAATATAATTAAGAGGTTGTATGACCAATTTATGAAGCTTACTTGGTTCTTGAGTCAGCTCTTGTTCCCCTACAGGTTTATAACTGATATCACCTATTTCCAAGTCATTGGGCTCGACGTTATTCGCACTCGAAGCATATTCATCGGTGTATAATTTCTTCGACGTATTAATCAACAACGGTTCGACATCCGTTGCGCCTTCTGGCTCATTATATATTCTTCCCAGAAATTGTCTTGCATTTCCTGGCGTTGAACCTAAGATAGGAATTGGCGGAGACGAACTCATGTAATCTCCTTCATTTTCTGAACTCATTACCTCACTAACCAGATTTTCAGCAAACGAATTTTTATTACCCATTTTCGAATCTTCTGCATCATCGGTGACCCCAATACTGGCCAAATTGGCCGTTTGTTCATGGATCAGAATCCCAGAATGCACTGCTGGTGAAAACATCGTATTCATGCTGGCACGATTTGTCATACCTGTATTTCCTCCAACGTAACTTCGACCCCCAAATTCAAACGTCCCACCTTGACTACTCACTGATTGAGCTAATACTTCCGAAATAGAGTATTTACGTCGGCCACCATCTCGCATATGGTTTTCATCCAACTCCCCGATCGTTCGATTGTTCTGCGATTGTGAAAATGGATTATTGAATGAACTCATTCCTAATTTTCATCAATAGAATCTAACTTTTCAGATCACTTATTGCTTGTATTAATATCCCAAGGTCAGCACAAATCAAAAAAAAAAATTTTATGAATTGAAATTCCTACGCCTAACCGAGACTGATCTGTTTCACGGTCTTATTTATCGAACCTATCAAATAGACGTGAAGGTCGAAGAAAAGCTTATCAAGCAAACACATTATCTAATGATTTCGCGTGTGGCTTCCGATATCGTATCTTGAACAATGAGTCACGCCCTAGACATCAATTCATCTGATTAGACATGAATATATACGGTCAATTACGTTTCTTTATATGACTTATAATATATCAGATGACACTAGTGAATCCAGAGTATAAACTACAAGTTGCAGGAGGGGAGAATCCTATCAGGAAATGAATTATCAATGGTTGAAAAAATGTGAAAAAAAATATGTGGAAAAGTCTTCGCACCAACTCGATGGGACGTAAATAAAAATTGCAAAACTGGACAATAAATGAGATATTAGCTATTAAGTGGACTAAATATTTTAGATTTAGAGTTACAATAAAAAGGATACAAGGGTACCAGAAATAATTGCGGTAATCAAAGAGAATGTCACATTCTTCTGGATTTCTAAGTGAACGCCATAGTCCACTAAGCTCGAGTGAGCCAGTTTCTGGGTCAACGAGCCCTCTTATTATCAAGCCAGCCACAATTATTGCCCATAAACCACGATCATCGTCCATGAACTCGAACTGCTCAACACATTCGAATCATGCGAGAAGCTTATCAATTATAAGTCTTGAATCCCCACGAAATTCGATAATTTCGCTCGATGATGGGTTTACGCGACCACCACGAAATGATAGCAATGTGAGTCTCAGTTCAATGGTGGGCAATAATGGAGGCATGACGCCGCCATTGGGAGGGTGCAAGGAGACAATTCGGCTGAATCATAAAAATATACCTAAGACAAGCAGTACAGTAATAACTTCGGACGAGGATTCGGAGGTGGAGCAAAAATCGATTTCTAATTGTATGTGCAAGAGAAACGGTCGGTATTATTCTGAGCCAGCCCCTAATTCATATCTCAAGAAGGATTTTGAGTTTCAATACGGTGGTAATGTCAATAAGAACGGTAAGCACAATAATTGCGGCAGTGTTCATATCAATTCTAGCACCAACCATAGACACATGGACAGAAGACCATCTACAGACAATAAATCTGATATCATTCCATCTCCACTAATTCTAAATGCGGAACATGAAAAGACAGAGGCCAAATTTGTTACGGACAAACCAGACAAAGTCATCGCAAAGAAGATAAAGCCTGTAAACAATAAATCTAACCGTGCTCACCAATCTATATATTTGAAGAAGAAACTGATATATTCCAAAGACCTACAGTTGGAACTAATGAATTCTAATACTAGTATGGGCAAGCATTTAGATACCAGGTTTACTGAAACTTCTTCATCCAGTCCGAAAAGCTCTAACTCAACAAATCTCAAGGCGCAAATAAAAGACTTTGAAACTGAACCTATCATCACCACATTAGAACACCAGAATAAACTAATCACCAAACTCAACGAGAAATGGAATAAATCACTTGTCACGCCAAATCATTCATCCGGAGGCAATGACAAAATGATTGCAGATGAAACTAATCAGATTGTTGGTTCTCGGAAACGGTCAAGACAATACCTGTTTGAAGGTGATGATGATAATTATGACGATTACGATAATTAACAATACTCTTATTTATATGTAAATTTCCTATGTACCATATGTATAATAAAAATATAACCAATGCAAATTTGAAAAATCAGAGGATTACTTCGTCATCCTGACTACTATTTATTAACTCATTAAAAAAGGGCAATTTTAAAATTCCCTTAGATGACAATCTTTTACTCGGATCCATATGAAAGCATCCATATAATAGTTGCAATAAATGCTTATGATCATTATAATTCTCCATACGCTTCATGAATGATTCCTCAGATTCGTTACTATGTAGCAGGGGTTTCTCGAACGAGTCACCTTTCTGACTCAAGACAGCAAGTGTATCATAGATTACACTATCTTTCGGTATCGCGTCCAGCATATTCTCAAAATTCAAAAAATCGGATAATACATGAATCAAATTGGAGTATGTCTTATTTGAATTTCTCACTAACGATATTTCCAAACCACAACCGTGAAGCTCTGCACATTTCTGAAGCTTATCTATTCCAAACATAATTGCCAACTCAAATAGGGCATCAGTGTCGTCTGGAGAATTGAACAACGGAAACCTTCTACTAATAAGCGAGAATCCAATTATACCTGCTGACCAGATGTCTAGTTTGGTCGATTGGTTTGTGCATTTGAATAAAACCTCTGGAGCTCTGAATCCACGAGTACCAGCTCTGTTCGCTCTACGTGGTGGTCGTTGATCCTGTTTTGGATAAGCAGCTTTTACATTCAATCTTTTAGTGTGTGCCCTACTAACAGCTGGTTTTTCTTTAGTTACGCATGGACAAATATTGGAATTTTTTGATGAAGTACTCGTTTCCATTTTTTCGGCTAAACCAAAATCAACCAACACACCTCGTCCTTTAAACGGATCATAAAGAAAATTAGTTGGCTTCAAATCTCTATGAATGACCTCCTTATCGTGAACAAAATCCAATGCTTGGAAAAGTTCCCATAAGTACTTCTTTATACCCTTGATAGGAAGATCTCTATAAAAATCACGGAAATCGGCATGCTGGTAGTATGGTAAAATGGCAAGCACTTGGTCTTGATATCTTAAGACATCCAATAATGGAGCAACGTGAGAGTTACCAGTCAAAATGTATAGCAAATTTAGCTCATTAAAGATTCTATTTGGTGAAGACGTTACATATATTTGTTTCAATGCAACAATGGGATTTTTTCTTTTGATTGGTTTTATTTTGTTTCTATTTCTTTTTAAAGGAGGTGATTTCCAAATATCCGATCCCAATTTAATAGTACCGTTCAAGGATTCTGCTTTATAGACAGTTGAAAATGTTCCTTCGCCAATTTTATCTATCAAACGGTAATTTGACGATAAAATTGGAAAGCATTCTTCCAACTTATTCATTTCCTCCAACACTTCTAAGGGTACCTTATCTTCCTCTTCTTCATCATCTTCTTCTGTATTCACTTCTGCCGGCTCGCTCGTTTCATCCCCATTACTTTGACTAGTTGTCTCACCTTTAGTTCCAACCACTTGCTTTTCGGCCTCTTTTACGTATTCCCCATGTCTTAAATTAACTTCAGACAACACTTTAGTCTCTCGCACTTGTTTAGCACTGTTCTTAGAATTGTTATCTGGTTTAAGACTCTTCGATAAATTCTCTTTCCTGATAAACGGCGACATCAATTTGCTCTCCTCTGAAATTACTGTGTCCTTAGTTACAGAAAACCCTTGTGCTGATTCATTACTGTGTCTGTTTATCTTCTTAGATCTGTCATTGAACGGGTTATCATCACTACTAGAGTTTTTTCTTTTCCGACTGGTCTCCAATACAGAACCCGACGCGCTACCTTTAGGTTTATTTGGCGATATCCTATCTTTTAACCTTTTGAAAGTGCTGTATAGATTCTCCATCTTTTTCACACGGACAGAAACTTTACTAACCCTCTTTGCGACCAAATTTCAAGCCAAAATGGTCCAATAGATCGTAGTATAATACATCATTTCTGCCACTAGCACATCTTTTTAGATGTAAATATTGATTTGGTGTGTATATAATAATGTCGTACGACTTTTATAAATAGTCCAAAATACACGACTTTTTGTGCGACATTGACGGTGAAAAATTTCTCTCGTTGGACATATATAGCAGAATTAAGGTAAGTTTGGTTTAAGTATATATAATAGATTGATATCCAATATAAGATGATACGTCCAGCATCTAATTCTAGTACGACGTTGGGCAGAATTGGTATCAATGTCCAACAAGTGCGTTTCTTGAAAAGAAAATTAGCATATCCACAAGCATATAAACCTGATGTGGCTCCATTAACACATAGGAAAAAGGATCATGCAAGTTATTTCCAAAGACACTTAAAGGAATGGTTAGGGCCTGTCAATGCAAGAGGTGAATACTACAGAAACAAATACTACTACCCACCCCAAGACCACAAACCACGCTATATTGTTCCGGATGGTAATACGATTGTTGATCCAAGCAAACCGCAATTATCAGAAGACAGAAGATTCAACGACGCAAAGAGAAACCCCTCATTACAACCATTTCCATTTAATCCTCATTGCAGAACCGCATCTGTTATCTCTAATGACTTGAAGTCCAAGATCTATGAAGATGTCACTCAAAATGGAATGCACGCTCAGGAAGTTGCCCACAAATATGGGATTAAAGTGACAAGAGTGGAAGCCATTGTCAAGTTACAACAAATAGAACACCAATGGAAAGAAGAAGTATGTATAAAAATTAATTTTAGGAGGCCAAACGTAATTACAATGATGAAACAGTTTAAAAATTCGATTAGTCTTGAAGACCTCAACATGGTTAAAACAGCATTCAATTCCTGATATAAACACGTTTACACTCCTCAAACCTTATTATTTTGCACGCGATAGAAATACTAACAACATATCTAGAACTCTATAACCGAAGACTTAAGCAAGTTTTCTGACGTCATGTATCGTATGTTCCCATTATACGAACCACCAGTCGAAGCCGAAAACTTGACTGAAATTCCTACTCCACAAAGAACCTTACATCAACGTTTCTTAACTATCTCTGAATCCGAACCTTTCGGTCCTGTGGATGCTGCGAAGTTGTTCGACTTGGAACCTGCCCAAGAAACCTTGAATAAATTGACCGAATTCACTTCTGATGAAGAGGCTGCTAAGGTTAAGCTTAACAAGGTAGTTGTAGGTACCGAAAAAGAAGGAGACAAGAATGTCTTTAAATTCACTAACTCTAAATCTGGTGATGTCGGTTTCCGTTACGGTGCCTCCAGAAGAGATAGAAAGAAGGATAGATCCATAGGTTTTGACCGTGAGGGCAGAATGCTTTACACCTAAACTTATAATTAATCATATATATTGTATATAGTCAATCCACATGTATGTATAGTTTACCATATTGTAGGTATATGTCTTTTTCGGTATATACACGATTTCACCACCACGAAACGACACGTCTGAATTTTCCTAAATATACACCTTCGAATCAATGAACAATTTGAAAAATTCTGGAATAGTTAGTTAAATACTTCATTAACTGGTTAAGAAACAATGCAATTCGCAATAATAGCAGCCTTTTTCGCTACCATTCAGTTAATTGCTGGATCAGCTTTAACCTTCACTTTAGGAGCACAAGAAAAAGCATGTTTCTATGTGTTCACTGAAAAGCCTAGAACTCCAATCAGTTATTACTTTGCCGTGCAAAGTGGTGGCTCCTTTGATGTTGACTACACTATCAAGAACCCAAGAGGTGAAATTATTCACAGTGATGAAAAGCAAAGACAAGGGGATTTTGCTATCAACGCGGACATTGTAGGAGAATATGAATTCTGTTTTGCTAATGGAATGTCCACATTCGCTGAAAAGGTTGTTGATTTTGAAATTCAATTCAAGGATGAAAACTCTGAGTACAGAGCAGACATGCCAGATCAACCAAATGCCAAGCCACTCGCTCACGTCGAAAGTATGCAAAGAACTGTTGATAACATCGACCAACAATTAGACGGTCTTTTAAGAACTTTACAATACTACAAGACTAGAAACAATAGAAACCAAGCTACAGTTAAATCCACTGAATCAAGAATCTATTACTTCTCTATATTTGAAGTATTATTAATGGTAGGAATGGCATTCTTGCAAATTACTGTTGTTCAATTGTTTTTCAAAGGTTCCAGAAAACAATTGGTTTAATTGCCATATAATTTGGTATATTATTTACACCTGTTAATCTAGTTATTTGGCTTATGTATATGCCTTTATATATCCAGATCATATTTTGAAATAAAAGTAAGCTCATTAAAACCTCCTTCTAATTCGTATTTAAGTTGTAATTATAACTCCAGTACTCTACGATGTTGATAAGATTAATTGATGCAAACCTATTTTATTGAATTATTTAATATTATACAAAATGTCTAATTGAAAACCAAACTGACTATTGACCAATTGGACAATTTCTTAAGTATTCGGCCTTGTTCTTTAATACTCTAACGGACTTGAAGAAAATTTCTTCTGGTGACATTGCACCGGTAGATTCAACATTGAAAATGAAATGGTCTCTCTTTCTACCTAATTTGACTTTACCGTTAAATTCTTCGTGTCTTAATACTTCTCTTGATACAGTATCCTTTCTTGGGTCCTTCACGACGGCCTCACCGTCCTTGCTGATATCAACGACACCCGATGGGAAACATTTTTGGAAACGCTTGGCGGCTTCACCTTTAATTGGCTCAGTAATATCAATAACTGGCATTAATCTGTATGATGCGGTAGCTACTGGAGAGAACTTAGCATGATCGCTTCCAACACCTAATATACAATGTGCCCTTAAGGAAATTTCTTGGTTTGGTCTCAACTTGGCTAACAAAATATCAGGATCAGCCGCGACAACTGGATTATTCTTGAAAATCTCGAGTTGACGACCTTGAGGTTCAAACTTTAAGTCTTTGGCGTAAACGTGTGAATTTCTGTATAATTCCTTTGGATCGGTCGAACCTTGGGGTGGGTGTGGGTTCTTGGTACAGCTGACATCTAACGATAAAACAATAGTATTCTCGTCAGTAAAACGGTCCTTCTCGTCCTGAGATGGGTCAATCCAAGTGAGAGTGTCTGGGTCTACCTTTAATGGAATTAAACCGATTCTATGTGCTAATACTTCATCTTGTATAACTGATGTATTATTGAAAACATACACGGTTTCAGCAGCAACAGAAGGCACTTCTGAAATCATAATACGACGGAATGCATTGGCAATTGATGTATCTATGTGGATTAAGTCAAAAGTTGAAGATCTTTCAGTAAGATGTGAAATGTTAATTTCAAACGTATCTTTAAATTTTTCTATGTCCCAAGCAAAGTCACCATTAGAGCTGTGACCTGGGAAATCAGTAGAGGACGTATTGGTAACCCTATTATATTCAATACCAACAATATTATCGGACATCTTCAATTTTATACTTTGAATCTAGGCAATTAAGCTTCCAGGGGAAGGTATTGATTTATAAGGGCATCGAAGTAAATTTTTTTCCTTTTGAAAAATCTCGATGGTCACGTGATGCGACTCTTTCATCCACTCTACCATGGTGTAGATTAATGCAAATGGTGTTTATAGGTAATCTAAATGCTCTAAATGGCGACATATGTAGTTATATCTTTTTGTAAGATGGTATTATTATACGAATGATCCAGGCATTGGATGTTGTGGAGTCGGCTCAGGAGCTTGTTCCGAAAAAGTGGAAGCCTGTATTTGAAATCGCTCTTTGAACAGCATGACCTTGAGGATGTTGCCTAGTATGTCAATGGTTAGAAGCTGTACATTTCCATTATATCCATCTCCTTCGAGTTCACTGTTTTCGATGCTGTCTATAGTATTTTCCGTATTTGTGTGTGGATGATTTATCTCGAGTACCTTGGAATCATCAGTCATGCACATCAAGCTGTGATAGACTACTTGGACAAAGAATATACCAAGATCAAGTAAAATTAGCTCTAGAGTCGAGTACGGTACTCTTTCTCCTATAAATTGAAGCGTCATTCCACCGTGTAAGAAACCGTTTGTAGACTCTGCGATTTTGTAGCTACCGAATAGCAAATGTATGAGGAAACAGAATGCATTTCCTGAAAACACTCCGATAAGGAGAAACTTGGTCAATGCTTTTTTACTTTCTTCAGACACCGTTACCCTCATGCTTGGAGTAGGATACGGGTTTGAAATTGAATACTGTGTGAATGCCCTGATCACCAATCTCAACATTGACAAATCCCGTAAATATACAATTCCTAGTAATATGAACCCCAAAAACTTCATAGATGCACGCAAATCCTGAAGGAAGTACTTCTTCCGTCTATATAGCACTGATGCATTATTTATGATTGTTTGTTCATCTGTAGGAAACCTTTGCGATTGAAAATCTCGTAGTTGGCTTTCTAAATTTATATTAGACATGATTTTAACACTTGTAAATAGGATATCTCATGTAATCAACAAATAGAGCAAGTATATATTGCCAAATTGGTTTGGGACTTGTAATATATACGAAGTATGTAAGAACAACTATTATCAAAGGGTGGCTAGAATTCGAGACCCAGTCCCGTGACTATATATGGACTAAGTATCAGCTACTCTCCAGAATGGTATTTGAAGACTATTTTAGAACTGTTTCTATTGCTTCTGTAGATATATATTCGATGCAAATGAATAGTCAATAAATCACATTGATTATGGAACCACCCAGAGCAGCAAATGATTCTCGTAACAATCAGCATTCAATAATTGATACTAGCCATGAGCATGTTCAACCCCGGATAAATAGGACAACGTTGCTGTCTCCCTTCGTGACCTTTCATTCGCCTAGTAATTCTAACCATCATCTTTCTAATGAAAATATGAATTCAATGTTGTTAGAATATCTTCTTGAAAAAGGCTACGGTGCAGAACATCCAAGAATTATGAGGCCAAATAACCATTAACTAGATTACAGCCCCTCAATCTTCAATAATATATGTCTACAGTTATATAAGGATAATCAAATTTTCATTATAAGTTTTGTAAAATAGACTATAAATGTCACCTTCAAGGACAGTATTTTTGTTCCATTTCAAAAATACTTGCAGCCACTTTTTGAACAATAAGATCGACTTGATCCAGAGTTATACCGTACGAAGGTGCAATTAAAATGTGATCCCCAGATAACCCGTCAATCGTCCCAAACCCCGGATAAACAGCCAATCCATTCTTTAGAGCATTTTGTTGGATACGTTGACCAATATGGATAGAAGGGTCTATTGGTTCCTTCGTCAGTCTATCTTTCACAAACTCTATACCCCAGAATAGCCCACGCCCACGAACATTTCCGACTATTCTGCTCCTTTCTAACTCTTTCATAAGTTTTTGTCCAAGATAACTGCCCATCTTCTTTACGTTTTGTAGCAAGTTATCTCTTTGTATGATTTTTTGTACCGCTATCCCAGCTGCACACGATAATGGGTAACACTGGAATGTATGGCCATTGTTAAACGAAGCAGAACCATTTAGAAGTACATCTACAATTTTCGAATTCATAAATACTGCTGAAAGTGGTGAATAGCCTCCACCAAGAGCCTTACCGCTTGTAGTTATATCAGGAACAAAGTCTTCCTGTTCCCAAGCAAAAAATGTTCCAGTCCTTCCAGAACCACACATTATTTCGTCAGCAATTAGAAGAACATCGTATTTATCACAGACTTTCTGAATTGCCCTGAAATATCCTTTTGGAGCTGTAATACAGCCAGTGGTTGCACCCACAATTGTCTCCGCAAAGAAACCTGCAACATTGTCAGCTCCAATCTCTAATATTTTCTCTTCCAATTCATGAGCAAGCCTTTCAACATATTCATTGGTTGATTCACCGTTCTTCTTACCTCTATATTCATTCGCTTCACTCACCTTGTGGAATCTATCACTTGCTAGATTCTCAAAAGGTCTTCTTCTTAAGACATGACCAGATAGAGACATACCCGCTAAACAGTTACCATGATATGATTGCTTACGAGAAATAAATTGAGTTTTAGAAGCCTTACCCTGTTCATAAAAGTATTGTACTGCAACTTTAACTGCTGCCTCATTAGCCTCACTACCTGAATTTGCAAAATATACTTTAGCTATCTTACCATTATAACCTTTTAGCAAGATATTCGCTAACTTCTCAGCTACTGGTGTTGTAAATTCAAACGTATGCACATAAGAAACTACTGATAACTGTTTTGAAACTGCTTGTATAACTTCAGAATTACCATGACCAACAGAAATAACTGCTGCACCTCCACATCCATCAAATATTTCCTGACCGTTCTGAAGAAATATGTATGCACCCTTAGCACATTTCACAATGTCCGGTGCCTCTCTTAATGATCTATGCATAAGATCTGAATTAGAAACATCTTCTAACTCAGTATGTATCATCTTATGTCAATTGCAATCATGAGTAATAGTCATACATTTGAGTTAAAAATACTAATA